CCTAACCTCATTTTACAATTGAGGAAACTGAGGCCTAGAGATAGGGTGACTTATCACAGTTTGTGGCAGATCTTAGACTTAAATCTAGGTCTGTTGATTCCAGATCCAGTGATCTTTAAACCATAGTATATTGCCTGCCCTTCCGTTAACCTCCTTTATAGCTTTAGGCAAGTCACTTAATCTTTCTGGGCCTCATTTTCCAAATGCCTTGCTGACCTTCTCAGAGACCTTCCAGCTTTAATGATTTAATCATACTCTCTGACATTAGTTGTGTGACATCTAGATCAGATAAGGAAATCATCTGCTTGGGTTAATTCAGAAGGTAGATATTCTAGATTTTTATCACCAGGTTTTCATCCCTATGGGATTCACAGTTGTGTAATGAATTAAAGTCAGATTCATCTAAACTAAAAACAGTTAATACTTTCTCCTGAACCAGTCCCATATCTCCAGCTTTTTATTGATACATCCACCATTACTTCATACCTAAAACTGAACCTATCATCTTTTACCCCGCCAAAGAATCTCTCCCACTCAACTTCTCTATTTCTGCCAAAGGAGTTATTATCCTAGACATTTAGTCATTTTTCATTCTTTCTTCTCTGTATATCCCCATGTCCAAATCCTTTCCATTCTTCCTTTACAAATCTCCTGAAGACTGAAATGTCCAAAGTATATGGACTCTAAAAAATAAATAAGTAAAAAGATTGAAATGTCCATATATTTGACCTAAAGAACAAACTGCTAGGCACATACTCCAAGGAGATAAAAAATAGAAAGGAAGGTCCCAATGTACACCAAAAATATTCAAAAAAATACTATAGGAAGTGGTACTTCTGGTACTTATTCTTATACTTTCTATAGTAGCAAAGTATACAAAGTAGATACCCATTGATTAGAGATGGCTAAGCAAATTATGGCATATGAATGGGATGGAATATTACTGCACAGTAAGAAATAATAACTGTGAAGAAGATAGTGAAGCATGAGAAGACATATACGAACTGATGTAAAGTCAGCAGAACCAAGACAGCAATATACACAATGATTACAAGCAATCTAAATGGAGAGAACAAGAAGTAAACGATGTATAATTGTAATGACAAAGCTCAGACCAGAAGAAGAAATTAGAGAATGAACCTCCCTTTCTTCTTTGCAGAGGAGGACTGCTGTGTTAGAATGTTGTGTATTTCTTAGACTTAGTTGATATGTTAGTTGGTTCTGCTGAATCACTATTTTTTCCCTCTCTTTTTTTGTTCCAGGGGATGGCTTGTTGGATGAGAGGGGAGAGGGATATATTTGGAAATGAAGGTCATATGAAAATGAAGGATATCAATAAAACTTAAGAAAAAACCCACAGTATTAACTACACTTTTTATATTCACATTATAACCACCCTAGTTCAGTTACCATATTATCTTTGGAAGTGGTTCTGCCTCTAGTCTTTCCCTACTCCAATTTATTCTGATGACCACCATCTCCACATTGCTTTCCTGAAACCCCATTTTTATCACATCTATCTTCCGGGAATACTACAGGATAAAATGCAAACTCAACCTGACTGTCAACATCCTTCACAATCTAGCCCGCATCTAACAGTTCAACCTCATCTTCCATTACTCCTGAACACAGACAATCTGTTCCAATCAGGCATGTGTTTATTTGTTTGTGTGGTTTACCCTCACCTGTAATGTCCTCCCCACTCTCTCTACAGTTTGTCTAAACTCTCACTGTCCTTCAAAGCTCATTCTATTTACAGCTCTTTTGTGAAGCTTTCTCTGACCACCCCCCCACCCTGTCCACAGTGACAATTCCCTCTCCTGAACTCCTGTATCATGAATTAGAAATGCCACTCATTATCCTTATGGTACTTATTCTATACTGTATATCACTTTGCTTTTGTTAACTTTTCATGTGTAAATATATCTTATTTCACCAAAGAGACTGTAAGTTCCAAGAGGGCAAGGTCCATGCCTTTGACTTCTTTGTATTTTTCTATTAGATAATGTAGTCTAATCTAGAACTTTGTATGTAGCAACCATTCAAATATCTACTACTGATTTATATACCTGTCACCTTTACTTTTTCAAAGGGCTCTCACATTTTTATAGTTTTATTCTCAAAACACCCCAATGAGGGAAGCCACAAATTATAATTCCTGTTTCAGAGATGGGACAATTGAGAATCAGAGGATGAAGTGATTTGCCTAAGGGAGGACTAGAATCTTCTGAATCCTAGGACACAGCTCTGGTAATTAGACTTCCTTTTCTAGGCTCCTTTCACCATCATCCCCTTATTTGCTCTGACAATGCCCCCCCCATCTCTCAAACCCACTGCTATTAAGTGACATTGCCTATTAGTGGGTAACACGTTTGTTCTTATCCTACAGACCTGCCAGAGCTATATGTGTAGGGCTTGGGCATCCCTGGGCCCCTGGAAATACAATGTGTTGGAGCATTAAACTTGATGTGGGAAGAGACAGAAACTGGGATTCTCTTTTGATTTCAACTACTTATATGTTATGTGGTATAGAGCAGGCCCTTTAATGTCTTTGGAGCTCAGTTTCTCCATCTGTGAAATGGAGGGAAAGCTTCCTTTTTTCAGTTGCTGAAAGTACGAAAAAGATCATAGATGAGAGAAAATATTTTCCTTAAGGCAAAAAAATTGCAAGGTGAAGCTACAGAGCCAATGTTACTTTGTGTCCCTCTCTGACCTGGGGCCCTAAAGTATGACAGTGAGCTTTGAGTTCACTTTCCTCTCTTCATTTCCCACCTGTACTTCTTTGGGCTTCTCCATTATGTCCCCAGGAACCTTGCCATCTTGCAAAACCATGTCAGCTTTGGTACTCACATCTTATCAGTACCCTTTGCCCCTGGGAACCCTCTGAATGGAAGATGAAGTGGAGACCTCCTCCCCAAACCTCCATTTAAGGAGGTTGTCAAGCCTAAGGCTGACCATCTTTTCATTTTATACCTGCCTGCCCTCTTTGGACTTCTCCATCAGCTCCTCCTCTCCACCTCTAACTGTACACCTTTCCTTCCCCCTACCTTTTCAGCTTCCTTTTGTGGATGGTTTCCCTCACTGGACTGTAAGCTCTTTGCACAGTGCTTGGCACAAAACAGGCACTTCATAAATGTTTACTGACTGACTCTTTGGAGTCATTAGTAATTGGCAGGGCAAGAATGCTGCTTTTCCTTGAATAAGAGATTTTTCCTGAGGAAGTGTCAGTACTCATAGGAGGTAGAAAAGAATAAGAAATTGATATAGCAAGAAGGCAAGAATCAGTTTTATGAGACTAAGCTGAGTTTGACCCTGGGCAGGTCAAAGAGAAGCTTAGGTTTCTGTTTGAATGCTGTTGGAGAAGTTCTGGACAGTTCAGCAGACACCACCTCTTCCCCTATCCCCCATACAAACACACGCACACACTCATGCAAACACACATCCCCCCTTACAAACACAACAACAAATATATACACAATGATATACATACATACATGCAAGAATCTCCACAGAAAAACACTGTAAAACAGAAATGGCCAGAGGTTTCCCATGGCCTGTACATGGAAGTATGTATAAATATGCACACACTCACATAGACAAATGTGAGCACACCCAGCCATGCAGACACGTATGTAGAGGTACACCCAGACAAGCAGGCAGACTGGGTCATACAGCCTGCCCCATGCACAGATACATATATATGCCCAAACTTTATCACTTGCAGAATCATAGAATTTGAGACATAGAAGAGTGAGGTCTTTTCCGGTCCACCCAGGCCAACTGATACACAAAAGGGATCCCCACTATTATTTACTCAACAAGTGGTTGCGCAGCCTTTGCCCACAAGGATGCAGCAGATTTTACCCTCAGCAACCACCTTGGAAGTAACCTGACCATCCAGCAGGATCAGTGAAATCCTACATTACTGTTCTTTCCTTACCTCCCACTTCCTCCCCCTCTACACACACACACTTCCAGACCTGCCCTTCAGGGGTCTCCTCAGAGAGAGAGGCCCTGCCCACCAATAGGGATGCTGGCTTCTTTCCCAAAGTTTGTCCTTTCCCTAGTCTGAAGGCTCGGTTATCCTCTGGCCTATTCTCTGGAGGATGTGGGGACGGGGGTGGGGCTGGTCATGGAGCTCTGGGTAAGGGGGAGGGAGGGACTACAGAGGGAACAGTCATAGGATGGGGAGCTCCAGGCTGGAACCTCCAGGGCTTGGCAAAGGTCAGCCGGGATCTTCCAAGCCCAGGTTTTATTGTAGTTCTGATGCTGGGAGGAAGCAAAGGAGGGAAAGACAGAAAAAGAAGGCTCCATTTTGTTCTCCAGTTTCTGTGGCTCCTGGGATGTGAGGACTAATGGTCAGAGTCCCAGGTTTCATTTGCCTTCCTCCAGTTTTAAGTCTCTCACTTTAGGAGCTCCTCAGGAATCTTAGGGGAGCGGAATGGGTCTGGTGGTTGAGATGAAGGAAGAAGAAATTTGTGAGATGGAGGGGTACCCAAGCTTGAGCCAGTCTGGAAAAGGGAGGTGGAAAGGGAGGAGGGAGGGCTAACACCTGTTCAGAAACCAGACAAGGATGTCAAATGTCCTTTAGCTAGCCTAGGGTTGGGGGATCAAGGCAGTGGCAGTGGATAGGACACTAGAACAGAGAAAGTATAACCCTAGACTGGTAGCATTTTGTTTTAAAATTTAAAACAAAACAAAGTATGAGATTGGTCCCCACCTCTTCTTAATCATAGAAAAGGTGGGAAGTGGTGAATACAGATAGCACTCTCCTCAAAAGAATGAATGGTGTATGTCTTGGAAGAAGGAAGGTTAGGCTATTAGTTTTCCAGTCTCCCACCACATCTCCCTAAAGTTATTGCCTCCATTTAGCAAACCAGTTCTTCAGCCTCCTCAAATAGCCCTCACCAACATCTGGAAAGTTGGGGCTGGGATGGGGGAGCAGTACCCTGGAGGATGAGGCAGGGAGGGGAAGGTTGGGGCAGAGGGATGCTTCTTACCGTTTGTGGAGGACTGCCCACTGTCATTTCCACATAGTAGCCTTGACCAGACTTGCCTCTCAGGTTGTCCACCATCTCTACAAAACTGCTCCTGAGGCTGGACTCATCCAGTTCCTCGATGGCCTCCCGAGGCAGCCGGAGACCCAAGGAGAGTCCACTCTTCAGGGGGAGCCGGATTCCTGGCTGGGTGCACAGCACTCCTGAGCCCATCCACAGCAAGAGCCAGGGCAGGGCTTGAGCCATGATGCCCCCAACCCCCTCAGTCCCTCTCTAGATCCCTCTCCTCCCCCTTTCTCCTTCCCCCCTCCCCACTCCCCAACTCTTTCGGTGGTGGTGATGGGCAGGCTTCTTAGGAAAGGGAGCCCAGAGGCATTAGGATCCCACACCCAACAGGATCACTCAGCTGCCCTCATGCTTCAGGCTTTGGGCGTAGGACAGAGAAAGAAATCTCCTGAGTGCAAGAGAGAGCGCCCAGTGCCACATCTAGACAGGCATGCAGCCCCATCAGGTATCTAGAAGGGGGAAGCTCAGGGCCCCTGAGGGGTAGTAGTGCTGGGCATGTTGAGCAGATAGATTTTTTTTTTCTTGTCCTCTTGGTAGACGTCAGCATGAGCAGGCGGGTAGGGGAGGTGGCAGGGGCTGCTTGGGGCTCTAGGCTCCCACAACCTTCATTTTCTGATCAGGCCCCCATAATCCCCCAGCTCCCATCCAGGCTGGGAAGGCGGAAAGACTTGTGGTGGCTACTGTCAAAGCCAAAGGGTTTTTGCTTTTCCCGGGGATTCCTGGGAAGTGTAGTCTTCCCCTGACAGCCAGGCCAGCTTCCGGGGCAAGTTAGGCAGTCTTGGATGCCCTCTGCTGAGAAAGAACCAACTCTTTCCGGAGGCTGGGAGGCAAAAGTTTATTTTGGCCCTGGAAGGCAGGGAGGGGTCAGCAATGAGGAGAAAAAAGGACCAAGAAAAAGCTCTCGGATTGTTGGTGTTAATGGAAAGAAGAACTGGCCTGGGACAAAAAGGGGAAGTTTGGGGTGTCTCAGACTCGTGTTTTGTAACTTTTCCCTTGCAGGCCCACCCTATCAAAATTTCCTCTCCGATACTCCACAGATAGCAGAAAGTGTCCTGTCTAATGACTGTGATTATTATTATTAACTTTATTAACAGTAATTTAGCTTACAGAGTATAAGTGTGAATTATTATTACTAACAATAAAAACACGGTTAATGATAATAATAAAAATCATAAAGAATAACCTTAAATTAAAGAGGAGAAGGTTCAATTAGAAAAATGAGAGGTTGGGAGGAAGCTAGTCAGGGCTTTTCTGCCGTCTTTAAGATGATGGGGAATGCTATAGGCAATCCAGTGCACTGTGTTCTTCGATAGTCATTTTATTTAATTTTGGAGCATGTTATTTGCGTGGTATAGAGGAAAGTCCCCTGCATTTGAGTCAGAAGATTTGCAAGATAAAGTAGTAACTAAAGGGTGATTTCAGAGCTCCAGGAAGTCTTGCTGAGCTGAAAGCAAAGCTGCTGACAAACTTGTGGCTTGCCTGGGGGGTAATTTCTTTCTTCAAAAAGTTGAGGGGAAAACCAGAGGAAGTGCTATTCTAGCCTATAAAGATTACAGATTGAGAGTTCTAAGTGCTTTACAAATAATATCTCATTTGATGCTCACAACAATCCTGTGAAGTAGGTTCTATTATCCTCATTTTGCAATTGAGTAAACTGAGGCAGACTGAGGTTATATGACTTGCCCAGGGTCCCACTGTGTCACCTAGCTTTCTCATGGAATGGGCCATAGAAGTAATTTCATTCATTCACTTTATTTTACAGAGGAGTAATTTGAGGTCCAGGGAGATTAAGCAATTTGCTTAAAATCACAGATGCAGAAAGTGGTAGAGATAAGATCTGAACCTATATCTTTTGATATCAAATCCAACATTTTTTTTTCCCACTGTAAGATGGAAGTTAAGGATAGTCAAAGTACCTGTGATTTCACTGATCCAATCAACAGTCAGTGAGAAAATTCTTACCAATGCAGGTTGGTACCTTTTCTGAAATTTTGGATCCCAGAGACCAGCCAGAACAGAGAGGTTAAGGAACCTGCTCAGGGTCACACAGTGTGTTCCAGAGGTGAAATTTGAACTGAGGTCTTCCTGGCTCCTGGGTTAGTTCTCTGTCCACTACCCCACTATGAGGTAGTAGTTGCTAAAGTTGAATGGTAGAAACTTCAGGGGAAAGTACCTACTTATTCTATTCCATTCTAGAGTTTGTGGTAGAGGAGGAGGAAGTCAGGCACAGTTTGATTTACATCCTAGATTTTGGGAGAGTGTGTTTCAGGGAGTTCAGAGGAAGGACAAGAAATCAAGCCAGGAGAGGTTTGAAGTTCTTAAGAATGAAATTCTAAAGATATAAAGAAAAACAATCATCTATCTGCTTGTTGTGGAAATCAAAAGAAAAAGTTAGGGAGCTGACTGGAGAGACTGATATGGATGCCCAGGGAATTTAACAACCAGCTTAGACTTTTTAAAGAGAACAGAAGACGGAAACAAGGGTAGGTGACAGAAGATGAATGAAAGAGTGTGGTGGGAGCCTTGTAAGAATCATGTCAGGAACGTTAAAGCTCACTGGAAATTGCGGCTACTGAAAGAACAATAGACAAGGACTTTTTAAAAGCTTGTTTGGAAGCACGAGGAAGATCAAAGAAGGGACGGGATCACTGTGCAGATGGATTGGATACAGAAAAGGAAGAAGTGTTTAGACATATTTCCTGTTTTCCCTACCAACGAAAATAATCTTTGAACTGGGAGGAAGGGCTCAAGAATGGTTAAAAGGGATAGACGAGGACATGAGGAGTCACAGAAATAACAGCAATAGCATTAGTAAGGACATTTAGATGGCACATGGTACCTTTGAGAGGCAGCATAGTATAGTGGGTAGCTGGGCTGTGGAGACAGGAAGCCTTCATTTCAAGTCCTGTCCATACTGCATACTAGTTATGCAATCATGGACAAGTCATTTAATCTCTTAGTATTTTGGTATCTTTCTAAGACTGTAAGTTATAGATAAATTTTGATAAAATTACTACTCTGCATCCATAGGGAAGGGAGGGGGCATAGCAATTGTCTTCAAGTATTTCAAATGCCAAGGAAGAGGGCTCAGACTTGCAAATCTCAGAGGTCCTCAGAGGGCAAAACCAGGAGCAAATCTAAGTTGGTGTCAGGAAAAATTTCCTAACAATTAGAGTTATAGAAAAGTATAATGGGTTGCTTCAGAATGTAGTAGGTTCCCCCTCACTGGCCCAGTTCCCCTTAATGCCAATGCTATCCCTCTAAAGATCATTTCCAATATATCTTGCTTGTAAAGAGTTATTTTCATATTATCTCCTCCATTAAACGATGAGCTACTCAAGGTAGGGACTGTCTTTTGCCTTTCTTTGTATCACCAGCACTTAGCACAGTGCCTGGCACACAGTAGGTGCTTACTAAATGTTTGCTGACTTGTTGGCTGGAGATCCAACCCCAGTCAGCTGGGGGCTAGCTGACTACTTTTCAGGCATGTGGGGGTTCTCTTTTGGAGAAGGGGTTGGACTAGATGACTGCTGAAGAACGTTTCAATTCTAAAACTCAGTGATTCTGTGACTGAAATGGTGAGGGACCTAGAGATTATGCTTCAGGAGGACTGGTGAAAGACACTGGACACATATTCTTTTCTAATATCATTTTATATTTTTCCAATAACATGTAAAGGCAATTTTTAACATTCATTTAAACATTTTTTTGAATTCCAAATTTTATCCTTCCCTTCTTCTTCCCCCCCTGCCTAAAAAGGCAAGAATTTTAAATAGGTTATATATGTGCAATCATGTCAAACATATTTCCATATTAGTCATGTTGCAAAAGTAAACAGACCAAAATGAAAAGACCATGAAAAAAAAAAAGAAAGTGAAAATAGTATGCATTTAGACCCCATCAGTTTTTTCTCTGGATGTGGATAGCATTTTCCATCATGAGTCCTTTGGAATTGTTTGGGATCATTGTATTTCTGAGAAGAGCTAGTCATTCATAGTTGATCATCACACAATGTTGCTGTTACTGTGTACAATGTTCTCCTGGTTCTGTTCACTTCACTCAGCGTCAGTTCATGTAAGTCTTCTGGATATGTTTAATTGGGAAGAGATCTAGGGTCTACATCATGATCATCTTCAGTTATCTAAAGGGCTGTCATACAGAATAGGGATCAGATTTGTTCTTCTTGATCCATAGCATAGAACTAGGACTAATGATTGGAAACTGAGAAGAAGCAGATTTTGACTCTATATAATGAAGAGGTTTCCAAAAGTGAAATGGACAGCCATGAGATAATGAGTTACCCCTTCTTAGGTTCTTCAAACAGAAGTGACTACTTTTTGGGCATGTTGTGTCAGGTATGGGTTAGACTAGATGTACTCCGAGGTCTCTCTTTTTTTTTTTTTCTTAAGGCAATTGGGGTTAAGTGACTTGCCCAGGGTCACATAGCTAGAAAGTGTCAAGTGTTTGGTCTGAGGCTGAATTTGAACTCAGGTCCTCCTGACTTCAGGGCCAGTGCTCTATCCACTGAGCCACCTAGCTGCCCCCTTCTGAGGTCTTTTAAACTCTGAGATTCTGTGAATTCCAAATTGGCTATGTTCCCAAAGTTTTTGAGTCTCTCTTCCCACCTTTAGGTGGGATAATCTTTTTTCTACCCTATCATTATAGATATATAAAGATTCTTCCTGTTCAAGTAATATGATGATGATGATGATAAGTCACATTATGTACTATGTTAAAGTTTTACAAGTGATTTCTTTATAACAATCCTGTGGAGTGTCATAGAGTCTCTCTCTTCAAGATGCAGCTTAAGCACCATCTTCTGTATGAAGCCCTTCCTAATTTCCTCAACCTCTAGTGCCCCCCCTCCCAAACTACCTTGTATTTAACTATTTTGTAGGCATCTGTATTTATTCATCTTATATTTAAGCTGTTTTCATTCTTTGGACTTTGTATCTTCAGCACCTAGCACACTGCCTTGCTCATAGTAGGTACTTAATAAATACTTGTTGATGGGCAATATTCCCATTTTACATTTGAAGAAAGTAGGTCAAGGTTTTAATGATTAGGTCCTTCAGTTTCCTTTCCCTATCTTCTCCTTATTTGCTCTAATTTTCTCCCACTTTCAAAAAGAAACCTTTCCCAATCCCCTTATTTCTAGTGTCTTCCCTGTGTACATTATCTTAGATTTATAGTGTATATAGCTTGTGTGTACATAGTTGTTTGCATGTTGTTTCCCCATTAGACTGTGAGCTTCTCAGGAGCAGGGATTGTTTTTTACCTTTCTTGCTATCCCCAGTGCTTAGCACGTGTAGCAGGTGCTTAATAAATGTTTATTGACTGAATGACTGACTGAAACAAGCTTGGTGAGAGAGGAGACAGAGATGTAGTTATTCCTTCAATTTTCATCACTGAGGTGTTGTGTGCTCAAGGGTGGGCCCTTTAACTTTCTAGCATATCAACTTCTCTATCTACAAAATGGAGAAAACATTCCCTGCTCTTCTCTCTCTCTCATGGGGTTGCCATGAAGCAAAGACATTATAGATGAGAAAGTTGCAAAATAAGTCCACAGGGTCAATGTATTTTGAGTCCATCTCTTGATATTCAGTACTCTCTCAAGGCAAATAATTGGCATTACATTTTAAGGAAATAATTTATTAAAAAATTTGTAAAATTATTTTTATAGGTGTGCCGTGTATAATGAGGAAAAACTGGAAACAGTCTACATGTCCGATGAGGGAATGTTTTAACTTTATATATTATTTTTCTAGTTTTTCCTTATTATATAGAATGAATGGATGAAAAAGTATTAATTAAGTGCTTACAATGTTCCAGGCACTGGGGATACAAATCCAAAAAAGCTAGGTAGCATCAACTCTCAAGGAGCTTGCTGTCTAATAGAGGAAGACAATACATATAGTGAAACATTCTCCAGGAAGGGGGTGTTTTAGCCAGCAAAGTCACAAGGATAGTGAGTAGAATCATAGAACAATTGATCCTTTCTAGAAATGGTAATGTGAATTTGAATGTTATTCTTCAGAACTAGAAGTGATAAGAGGAAGGTGACAGGAGTGAGATCCATTTTACGTTTATATAGAGCACTGTTATAAACATCTTTGTAAAAATAGTTTTCTTTTACTTACAAGGTACTTCCTTCCAATATATTCCTAGTAGTTAAATACAGAGTCCATTATATTTATCTGTGTTCCCATCTTATCCCTTTTCTAGGCTGTAAGTTCTAATAGACCCCTGTCTCTTTTAAACTTTTCTGTTTCCATACACAGCAGGTGCTTAATAAATGTTTGTTGACTGCTGAGCTACTTAGTAGGTGTGATTTTGGATAAGAGATTTAATCTCTGATCTTAATTTCCTCATCTGTAAAATGTGGGAGTTGGACCAGATGATCTTTAAACTCCCTGCTGTAAATCCCATCATCCTATGAACATCAAAAGTTTTATGATTCTTAGAGTTGTATCCATCTGAAGGCAATAATTAGTTAATCAAGCTACTAATTAATTAATGGATAGTAGAAATACAGTAGGTTGATTCTTTTCATCCTGCGTTTATGTTCCGATGCTCAGACTTTCCACTACGAACTCCAAGCTAACGCCCATCGATCACCCTGAACTACAATTTCCGTCATGCAACGGGCGATGCGCAAGGCCACACATAATCTGATAGGCCCTTTAGCCAATCCAATGCTACCGGATGCTCCAGCAGGCCTATAGGCTGGGGTTAGGGGCGGGATTTTCCGTTGCTAGGCTGTCCCCATCCCGGAAGTAGTTGTTGGCCGCTGCAGGGCAACACCCCGGCGTCCCTGGAAGCGGGGAGCCGGGGTGGTGCAGGGGAAACTGCGCGGAACCGGAGGCCAGAGGCCGGAGCCTCCTGAGGCAGGGGGAGCGCCCGGGGCCAGGTGAGGACGTCTTCGAGGGCGAGATTTGGTGGCCTTAGGAGGGGAGGATGTTGATTGTACAAGAGTGTGTGTGCCTGAGAGCCGCTTGTGCGCTCGCGAGCTGGAGAGCGCGGGAGCTCAGCCACAGCATCCGTGGGAGAGCGAGTGTGCAAGGGAAGGGGGTCGTGTGTGTATGTGGGCAGGTGTGTCAGCATGTGTGCGAAGGCGAGTGTGCAAGGGAAGGGGGTCGTCGTTGTATGTGGGCAGTTGTCTGCATGCTCAAGGGCGAGTGTGCAAAGGGGAGGTCTTCGATGTACTTAGGCAGATGTGTCTGCTTTCGTGTGTGAGTGTGCAACGGGGCGGGGGTCATCGGTGTGTGTGGGCAGGTGTATCTGCACAAGGGAGAGTGTAGGGAGGGTCTTCTGTGTGCTGAGATAGGTGTGTTTGCATATGGAGAGGGACAGTGTGCAGGGAGCTCTAATTTCTAGATTCATGTTCCATGGAAGTGTAACCAAGGATGTGAGTTTGAAAAGGCCCGGGCACCTGAATAGTGTTTGTAGTGGATAAGTGTGCAAATGTTCCTAGCTGTGTGCCCCAGTGTGACTGTGTTGTTGGTATGTAGTCGTACAAACCTCAGTGGCTATATAGACCGAGTTTGTCCATGTCTGCAGTGAGTCCAAGGGTGGGTTATGAAAACCAAGTCACAGAAGGAGCAGTTGTTTGGAGTTCTTTAGCAGAGAGAAGAGAATACTTAGGAGAGATATGATAGCTGTCTTCAAATAGTGTGAGGACTCCTTTATGTACGAAGAAGAGAAATTCCTTTTGTGTTTTGTCTTCCCTCCTTGGATCATAAGCTCCTTGAGGGCAGGGACCCTCTTTGTTTTTATTTATATTTTTATCCCCAGCACTCAGCACAGTGCCTGGCACATAGTAGGAACTTAATAAATGTTTATTGACTGACCGAAATGACATTTGTAGTGTTTCTCTAGATTAAGGTAAAGTTAGGATCAATGGGTGGATTTTATAAGGAGACAGATTTTGACTTAGTACAAAGAAGAACTTAAAAATGATAGCCCAACAGTAGTATGGATTGTCTAGTTAAGTAGTGAGCACTCCAGCCCTAGAAGGATTCAGGTTGGGGCAAGATGTCCACCTTTCAGGGTTGCTATCGATGGACTCAGTACATTGAGAGGGTGGATTGGTGGCACAGTGTCATGAGCCTGAACACTTGCTCTGGAGTCAGGACCTGGGTTCAGACCTGGCCTCCAACACTGTGTGACTTTGGGCATCTCTGGACCTCAGTTGACTCATCTGTAAAATGAGAGTGTTGGACTAGAGCTTCTGAAGTCGCTTCCAGTTCTAAACATGATCCTAGATGACTTTTAAGACTGTAAGATTCTGTGTGTGGCTCAGGAGCCTTAACTCAACGCCCACTGTTTGTAGAACTCTGGATTAGATGCAGTAGGAAGATCCAGATGAGGGACCATGATCTTGAGAAGAATATGTGTATGTGTATGTACGACATACCTGAATATATGGAAATGAGGATCAAGGACTTGAAGGGATGATAGATCGATAGGAGCAGAATGTTTTAATTAGGGAAGCTTGATAGAGGGGCTAAGTTTTTTTCCCCAATTTTTTAAAAACATTTTTGTTTAAAGTTTTGAGGTCCAAATTCTATCCCTCTCTCCCTCCCCTCCCCCCTCCCTGAGATGGTAAGCAGTCAGATATAGGTTGTACATGTGCAATTATGTAAAACATTTCCATGTTAGTCATTTTGTACAAGAAGACTTGAATAAAAGAAAAAAAAAAGAAAGTGAAATGAAGCATGCTTCAGTCTGTGTTCAGTCAATATCAGTTCTTTCTCTGGAGGCGGATAGTGTGCTTCATCATTAGTCCTTTGAGATTGTCTAGGATTATTGTGTTGCTGAGAATAGCTAAGTCATTCACAGTTCTTCATCAAACAGTATTGCTGTTACTGTGCATAATGTTCTCCTGGTTCTGTTCACTTCACTATGCATCAGTTCATGTAAGTCTTTCCTTATTTTTCTGAAATCATCCTGCTTGTCATTTCTTATAGCACAATAATGTCATTACAATTGTATACCACAGCTTGTTTAGCCATTCCCCAATTGATGGGCATCCCTTTGATTTCCAATTCTTAGCCACCACAAAAAGAGCTGTTATAAATATTTTTGTACAAATAGGTCCTTCCCCCCCCCCCCCTTTTTTAAGATGTCTTTGGGACCTAGCAGTGATATTGCTGGATCAAAGGGATCCAGCAATTGGATTACAGTTTTATAGCCCTTTAGGCATAGTTCCAAATTGCTTCCCAGAATGGCTGAATCAGTTTGGAACAATCTCCACCAACAGTGCATTAGTGTCCCAGTTTTCCCACATCCCCTGCAACATCCAACATTTTCCTTTTTTGTCATATTAGCCAGTCTGATGGGTGTGAGGTGGTACTTCAGAGTTGTCTTAATTTGCATTTCTCCAATCAATAGTGATTTAGAGCATTTTTTCATATGACTATAGATAGCTCTGCTTTCTTCACCTGAGGACTGCCTGTTCATATCCTTTGACCATTTATCAATTGGGGAATGACTTGTATTCTTATCAATTTTACTCAGTTCTCCATATATTTGAAAAATGAAGCCTTTATCAAAGATACTAGTTGCAAAATTCCCCCCCCCCCCCCGCCATCCCCAGTTTTCTGCTTTCCTTATAATTTTGATTGCATTGGTTTTGTTTGTGCAAAACCTTTTTAATTGAGTAGCTGGTTGAAGTTAGGATGAAGCAACCTTTGGTAATCTGATTTCTCCCATCACCTGTATCCCTTACTAAAACCCAATCTTGATTTTGGGGTTGATTTCCCAGACCAGTCATTTCTCATTCATCCAACTGCTTTTTGACTTTTATTATACCTTTTCCTGAGGGTTTGATAAGGCAAGGAAGGCAAGGGGAAAATGAATCCTTTCATGCTATTCTTTGGCAGTGGTTCTGGCAAAAGAATTGTTTCTGAAGGAGGTGGAAGTTATTTGCTAAAATAAAGTTTTTTGTTTATCCAGGGCATTTTATTACCCAGGTTTTGCTTGATTTCTTAAACAAGTTGAATATAACTAGACCTTAAGCTTAAAGGGCAGGTAAGGACAGGAGATGTAGGATGGGGACACATGGAGAATTTTCTTACACTCACTGGTGTGCAAAGATTCTCATGATGCTCAGTACTCAGAGTGTCTTGGCCACTGCTGCTTCTTCCCTCACTTCCCTTTTTTGCTCCTGTTGTACCTTTCTTTCCTACTTTTCTCCTCAGTTACAAGTGCTGAATGTTCAGGTGACCCCACAGGCCATCATACAAAAGTCCAGTTGTTCTCTTGTCAGAAAGCAGAAGCACTGATGCATTTTGGTGGTCTAGGTATCCAATTCCTTTGGATGGTTCCTGGCACTTCCCTATATTGCTTTTCGGTTATGGAGGCCCTGAGCATTATATTGGCATGTTACTTGATTTCACAATCCAACACTTCCTTCATCCCTATCTCAGTTTAGCCAATTGCACAATAGAGAGAATAATCTTTGATAACTCTGGCTTCTTTGGAAACAGTCAACTTTCCATTTATTGCTCTTGGGAAGAAGCATTTCTGTGTACTGTTTTCCATTCTGTCACCTGATAGCTTCTGAGGAAAAGGGAAGATAGAGGAATCCAGGTCCTGGGATTGCAGGGCAGCCCTCTAAGTCTTGCTGTCTGGACCCATTCGTTGGCATTTAGATACAGGTGTTGGTCATTTCTGGCCTGCCCGTTCCCCCAGAATAGTTTGTACGGGTTGCCATCCTAAAAAGATGCCATCCATACAGCTGCAGTCTCCTGATTTGTTCTGTTTTAGTTCACTCCTAAGATAAGGTGGGAACTATCTATGATTCTTGAGAGACAAGGATGAAATTATATGCTCTAATAACCACTTCTTTGCTAGTTCCTGGCTTTTCCTGGGCTGGGTTTCCCACTCTATTTAAGAACATGTGAGTTTTTATCTGTATATAAATGGGTATCTGTTGGCTGTATGTGTGAGTGACTGTATGATTAAGTGCAGGATTATGTGAGTAGAAGAGGGCTATGTATTTGAGCAACGAGGAGAGGGTGGTGTGGTTGCTGTTGTTGTTTTTCAGTGTTACAGACTGGGATATTAGGCCCCCGAGGGCCAAGATCCAGCTCTTTTTTTGGTGTTCATACTAGTTTAGCAAGGCTTTGAAAAAAAGGGTGAGTGGATCCAACCAGTCCCTCAGGCTTGAAGTCCAGGAGTCATCCTCAGCCTCTCACTGTCTCTCACTCCCCATATCCAAGTTGTTGCCAAGGCCTGTCGATTTCACCTTTACAGCATCTCCCATATATACTCCCTTCTGTCCTCTGACAGTGCCATCACTCTAGTGCAGACCCTCATCATATCATGCTTTGATTATTGCAATAGGCTGCTGGTGGGTCTGCCTGCCTTAACTATCTCCCCTCTCCAGCCATTCTCCATTCAGCCACTAACGTGATTTTCCTGACACGCAAATCTGATCATGTTACCCCCCTGTTCAGTAAACTTCATTGGCTTCCTGTTGGCTACAGCAGCAGTGACAAAATGCTCTGTATGGCATCCAAAGCCCTTCTTCCTCTCCAATATTTTTATACCTTTCCCCCAACATGTACTCTTCAATCCAGTGACACTGGCCTCTTGGCTGTTCCATGAATAAGACTCTCCATCTTTTGGCTCTTGAGTGTTTTCTGTGACTGTCCTCCATGCCTGGAATGCTCTCTCTCCTCATCTCCATCTCCTGGCTTCTCTGGTATCCTTCAAGTTCCAATGGAAATCCCATCATCTGTAGGAAGCATTTCCCAACTCCTGTTAAATCTAAAGCTTTCCCTCTTTTAATTATTTTGTTTTTCCTATATATAGCTTCTTTGTACATATTCGTTTGCTTGTTGTCTCCCCCATTAGATTGTGAATTCCTTGAGGGCAGGGACTTTTACCTTTTTTTTTGTATCTCCAGAGCTTAACACAATGCTTGGCACATAGTTGGTGCTTAATAAATGCTTATAAATTGACAGATCACTCGGTTTCCTCCATAAACAAGAGCTAATTCAGGGCTACCTCAGTATTCCCCGAAGAGTGCTTAGTGCTTGGGTAGGCCTAGGATTTGAGTTCTTTGTTACCTTCCTGAGGAATCCAAATTTTTGGAGAGGCCTGGATTGGGAGCGGCTTGACTTTCCCTGTGTATTGTGTGAACCTACCCCAAACATGACCCTTGTTTCCTGGCCACTGATTGTTCCTCTGTGATTTATCTCTTGGGTCTAGGCCTGGGGGCCCAGATTAAACATGGCGGGGCGACCTATCCACATAGGGGACCAGCTGGTACTGGAGGAAGACTATGATGAAACCTACATCCCCAGTGAACAAGGTACTGAGTTACAAGAGGAAGCCTGGGTGGAGGGAGGGAATTGTGGGATGGAATGGACTCCTTAGGCAAGGGGAAAGCAAGAATTCCCAAACATGGAGGGAAAAAGTAAAGGTTTCTGCTTTAAGGTGCTAATAATAATACATATAATAAAAATAAATAGCTAACATATCTATATGTGTGTGTATACACACATATACACAGACACATATACATACACATACATAATGAGCTTTAAGGTTTGTAAGGCACTTTGCATATTATCTCATTTGATTCCCCACAACAACCCTGTTAGGTAGGTGCTATTATTATCCCCATTTTACAGATGAGGAATCTGAGGCTCATAGAAGTTAATTGAGTTGCCCAGGGGCTAGTAAGTATTTGAGGCAGGATTTGAATTCAGTTCTTCCTAATTCCAAGTCTGGCCTTCTGTCTTCAAGATCACCTGGCTACCTCTATAACACTTTAAGGTGTATAAAACCTTTCCTTACAACCCCCGTATGGGGTAGGTAGTGTAAAAATTATTTTTTCTGTTTTTAAATTAAGAAAATAGGTTTGTCCATAATCACACAGACAGTAAATGTGACATTGAACCCAGGGGTTCTTGCTCTACGCCCAATTTTCTTTCTCTTACCATATTGCCTCACTATCTTCCTTCACTGTACTGGGTACAGTCTTGGAAAATATCCAGATGTTTTGTTCATGCTTTTTTAGAGGACATTTTATACAAACCCATTTATTCCATTATATTTTCCAACATAAGTTTAGATATCCCTGGCCAGCAGAGTTTCAGCTGTTCTCTTGCCAAAATATTACCCTAAGGTCATTAGTATTAGTGAGGCCTTTTTTTCTTTTGGGGGGGGAGCTTGATCTAAAACCACCTAAAAAATTTCTGTAAAAAACTTAACAGCTTTTATTATAAACTTATATTCTCAATGCCAGCAGTGTGGTTCTGTTAATGTGAGAACTCTTTCCACTCCAACCTATATATCACTTAGTAGATAAGTCTTAACTCAGATACTTGGAGTGACCTCTTCATAGTCAATTAGCTTGGAGATGTAAGAGGTAGAATTTGAACCCAGGTCTTCAGATTCCAAGTTCACCTCTTAATCTCTGACACCATCCTGCCAGCAGTGTCCCAATTTCCCCACAGTCTTGCCATCTTTATCATTTCTTCACCTGAGATTTCTGGTCTCAGCTTTACAGTTTCATTGACCCTAATGGCCCTTTATGACTAGTTTCACCAGAGATCATCTCTCTCACCCCTTGCTCTGCCCCCAAGCAAAATTACCCTTAACATAGCACACATAGTTGAGTACTATTGATCTCCTCTTCCTTCAAGACTCTAGGGACAGGCGTTTTTCAGTTACTTAATATGGTTATGTGACTCCAGGCTGCTTATCTCCTCTGGGTCTCAGGTTCCTCATCTGTAAAATGAGGTACTTGGAATAAATGTCCTCAAAATCCGTGGAGCACCTTTGAAATACAGAAGATGAACCCACCAAGGCAGAGAGAGAGAGATGCTCTTCTTACTCTTGTTGGGGAACCCATGCTCTTGGAGTGCGAGAATGCTATGTCTTGTGGTAATGATGTTTATTGTTCTCTTCCTGCAGAAATTTTTGAATTTGCCAGGGAAATTGGAATTGATCCCAACAGCGAACCAGAATTAATGTGGCTGGCCCGAGAAGGCATTGTGGCTCCACTCCCCATGGAGTGGAAACCATGGTAAGTAGGCATGCTTTGGGGTCCAACGACAGGACTGAGGAGAATGTGAAGGCCCAGCACCTGCAATAAGCGGCTGTCTTTTCTTCAGTAGTTAGTGAGGGAGGAAAATATATAAAGGTAACATTCTATAGGGGCCTGTTAGACATTGTTACTAGTTCTGGTTGTGTGCCTGTCTTATCCTCAAGGTTGATACAATGTGTCCCTGGAATGCTGCCTTGCAGAGGCTATGTGAGTTGTGACCATCCCAGGTCAGATTTGTAGTCTAATTAGGTCATGATTTTGTCTGGCTAAGCACCAACAAACATATTATGGAATGAAGGGTGTAGATGCCATCCTTGATATGAATCCCAGAGATAATACATATCATTCCAAGCATCATATACTTTCCTGTAGTAATAGTAGTAGTAGTAATAGTAGTAGTCGTAGTAGTAGTAGTAGGCGTTGTTGTAGTGGTAGTCGTTGCTGTTGTTGTAAAGTAGTAATGACATTTATATAACACTTAAAAGTTTGCAAAGTGCTTTCTATTTCTTTGTCTCCTGTAAATTTAAAGCTTTAAAAATATACGTATTTTCCTGCCAGTATTATGCCTTGGAATAATATAGTGAGTATATTTGTATACATAGTATTGTATAATATATACAAAGTATATGAGAAATACACTCACTATACTATTTATATACTTAGTATGTATGTTTCATAGGGTCTCCAGTCTCATTGATGCAGTACTTCCAGTGGTACAGAAGGCTATCAGTCCATGCTTACTCATTCTGTGGGACTCTTGTCCTTTGCCTTCCATAGATCTTCTGTGTAAGGTCTACCAAATGTAGATTTCTAGGCTTTTTGACATACCAGTACTATGATCAGGCTGTTCAAATGTTATCCTTTGTTCTTCCTGAATAACTAAACTATCTCCTTTTCTTTTCTTTTTTAATTAATTTATTTTGATTTATCAACAATCATTTCCATAAGATTTTGAGTTTTAAATTTTTCTCCCTCTTCCTTTCTACGTCTCTCCCCAAGAAGTGCTCAATCTGATATAGGCTATACATATACATTCTTATTAAACATATTTTCACATTAGTCATGTTGCAAGGAAGAATTAGAACCAATAGAAGGAACCACAAGAAAGAGGAAACAAAACAAAACAGAAGAAAAAAAAAGATCAAATAGTTTGCTTCAATCTGCATTCAAACTCCACAGTTCTTTCTTTGGATGTGGATAGCATTTTCCATCATGAGACTTTTGGAGATATCTTAGATCCTTTCATTGCTGAGAAGGGCTAAGTCTGTCAAAGTTAGTCATCGCACAATGTTGCTGTTACTATGTATAATGTTTTCCTGGTTCTGCTCACTTCACTCAGCATCAGTCCAAACAAATCTTTCCAGGTTTTTCTGAATATCTGCCTGCTCATCATTCCTTATAGCACAATAGTATTCCATTACATTCATATGCCATAACTTGTTCAGCTATCCCCAATTGATGGGTATCCCCTCAATTTCCAATTCTTTGCCACCCCAAAAAGAGCTGCTATAAATATTTTTGTGCTTGTGGGTCCTTTGACTATCTCCTTTTCTAATGCATTTTCTGGCTACTGTCCTTTGTGTCTTTTCTTATATACCTCTCATTGGTGATATTCTGTAGCCTCCTTACACTTACCATATCTCTTCAGGTCACTCAGAATTTTGATTCTTTTTTTTGTTTGTTTGTTTGTTTGTTTGTTTTTTTTAGACAATTGGAGTTAAGCGACTTGCCTAGGGTCACACAGCTAGTAAGTGTCAAGTGTTTGGTCTGAGGCCAGATTTGAGCTCAGGGTCCTCCCGACTCCAGGGCCGGTGCTTTACTCACTGTGCCACCTAGCTGCCGCAAATTTTGATTCTCTGGAGATCATGGTGTTTCATGATTTGTAGCCATGTACTATTCCTTGGAAGAATATCAGTGCTAAAAATGGATTTTTGTGTCATGAACATTTTGGGCTTATTAAAAGTGCTGTGTAATTTGCAAAATATAATCTAGCCCATTCTTCCTTCTATTCAATTCTGAGATCATACTTTTTAAATATACTGCCTCCTGTCTAGACTCAACCTTCCTGACCTGGGTAGCCTTTTTGGTTTACTTGAGGGCATGTGCTCTCACCTTAAGTAGCAGGACTAAATATTCCTACTCTGGCTTTTTGTTGTCCAACAAAGAGGTATATAGGGGCTCAACCTTTCTTCAGTAAGGTGTGAAAATTATTACTCACCATGTCAAGTAGTACTTGGATATAGCTCCACTTCTATCAGGGTCAGGTGCTCCTCATGCCAGTGCAAAACACATGTTTTTAATGTGTTTCTTCTTCCAGTCTTTTTAGAAATTTTCATAGAGGAGCTATGCAATGTGTTAGAGGTATTTCCCTGTTTCATTTAATGTTGTTGTTGAGTTGTTTCAGTCATTCCCAACTCTTCGTGACCCTATTTGCTTTTTGGCAAAGATACTGCAGTGGTTTGCCATTTTCTTCTCCAGCTCATTTTACAGATGAAGAAACTGAAGCAAACAGAGGTTAAGTGACTCACCCAGGGTCACACAGCTAACAAGTGTCTGAGGCTGGGTTTGGACTCAGGTCCTACACACTCCAGGGCTGGTACTCTATCCACTGTTGCCACCTAATTGTCTGATCCATGTAATAGCCAGGTGCTATTGTAGCACTTGGGTTGTCCAACTGATCTTTAATTCTCAACACTTAACGAGGCCACTTCTGGTCATACCCATCCTTGGTGATGAGTTTTATGCCTTTTACTTGTGTAAAGTAGCACTTATTTAATTTGTGATAAAACTCACTTCCAGGAGTATTTCCTGCTTGTTCTTTCATTACAGGAATTGGTGAACAAGCCTATGCTGTCTCTCTAGTATTTTTTATACTATTTATGGTTTTATAGGTGTCAATCATCTCCTTTAGGCCTTGACTTTTCCAGATAGAAGTTCTGATTTTTTTAGCCTATTCTTATATAGCAGCTAGGTGCACAGTGAGAGAATGCTGGACTGGAGGCCAGGAAAATCTGGATCCAGAGGTTAAGTGATTTGCCCAGGGTCACATAGCCACTTTCTGCCTCAGTTTCCTCATCTGTGAAATGGGGACAATAATAGCACCAACCTACCAGGATTGTTGGGAAGATAAAATGAGATAGTATTCATGAAGCATTTTGCAAACCTTAAAGCACTACATAAATGCTGTTATTATTATTATTATTATTGTTGTTGTTGTTGTTACAGTCTCGTGGCCATCCCAGATTACCTTGAGTGTTTTAATTATTCTCTAGGCTTTTTCTAATTCTGTTATCTGTTTCATGAATTAGAGTGATTAGAAATGTATATGGTATGATAGATGTAGATGCATTATGGATTTACATAAAAGATAAAGGTTCATTTCCAACAGTCTTCCTGATGAATTTCAGCAGTTGTTTGGTGTTTTTGCCCATAATAACATATTGAACTACTGTCTATAAGGAATAGTCTTAGTGACTCCTGGGGCTCTTTCATATGTAGTAAATGATAGCTCAGATTCCATAATTTTAAAATTAGTATCATAAGATAGTTTGTATTTTTTTCCTCCTAAATGTCTTACCTTGGGCTTGCAACATGCTGAAACTTCCCTCTCCCACTTTTCTTTGTATTCACACAACCTTGCAAAGTATTCTGGACGCTGAACCTCACTGGTGTGGCTTGATGTTATCTTCAATAACTTAATTTCACATGCACAATTAAAACTTCACTATGAATTCCTTCCTTTAGACAATTAATAAACTATTTTAAGTAAAGCCTGATCTCTGAAAAGAAAACCTGTGTTCATACTGCTGTCTTCACAAAAGTACTCATCTATGGGGGAAACAAAGGACCACATTTATCTTGAAAATCGTTGACTTCATAGGGACTGAAACCCAACCCTTCTGGTCAATAAACTGACTCCCCATCCCTAACAGAACAGTATCTCTAACAACACAGTAATTCAGTTTTTTTTTTATTTTTTGCTAGGCAATGGGGTTAAATGACTTGCCCAGGGTCACATAGCTAGTAAGTGTGAAGTGTCTGAGGCCAGATTTGAACTCCGGTCCTCCTGACTCCTGGGCTGGTGCTTTATCCACTGTACTACCTGGCTGACTCCCTAATTCAGTTTTTTTAAAAGTAGTTTTCAGATCGGGAAAACATTGGTCTCCAATTTCTGTTTCTCACCAGCCAGGACATCACAGGTGATATTTACTATTTCAACTTCGCCAATGGACAGTCCATGTGGGATCACCCGTGCGATGAGCATTATCGGAACCTGGTGATCCAGGAACGGGGAAAGCTTTCAACTCCTGGCTCCATCAAAAAGAAAGATAAGAGAAAGAAGAAGGACAAGAAAGACAAGAAGGACAAGGAACCTCCCAAAACTCCCATGGTGAGTCATAGTTTGCTGGCATCTGGGGGGGGGCAGAGCCGAAGCTGATGGGGCTTTCTGTACTTTTACATATTTCTTCCAGGACTGTGAAATTAGAGACACTGTTAGTAGCAACAACCGTAATGGCGTAGTCAACTTTTGATTGTTTGCAGGCTTATTTTTCTATTTGTGTTTTTTACCCCTGATCAAGGTTGGCTTTCAAAATTTCTGGTTAGTGGTGTCAGTCTTCCTTGCTAGATCTTCCTCCATGCCAATTGGGAGCCCAGTAGAAACTGGAAAAGAAGTTCTATTTTAGCTAAAACAACTTGCCCCTAGGAAATGGACATCAGATAAGCTTAGACAGAGAGAAGCTTTCCTTAAGCTGAGGTTTTATGGTGGCCTGCAAAGTGATACTTTTATTCCTATCATGGAATGGTCTTCAAGAAAAGATTGGTAAGAGGGCAAGATGGCTAAACTGAATGGCTTTCCCACTTTGATTATTCATTTTAACATGTGAATTTCCAGACATCCAGTATAGCCATATTTAGATATAAGCACAAAAGTACCTTCCAGAGACAAAGAGAAATGCTTTCGGTGTCATTCACTGTTTTGAATGATCTTTGTCACTGTTCTCCTCCTTAGCAAGAATGATTAAGATTTGATGGTAAATGGCCAGGTGGGATGGACACCCCTGTAATTCCAGCTACCAGGGAGGCTGAAGCTGGCAGATCTCTTGAGCCCAAGAGTTCTGAGCTGTAGTGGGCCATGCCAATTGGATATCCATACTGAATTTAGCATTACTATAGTGACCCTGGGGAGCAGGGCCTCACCACATCGCCTGAGGTGGGGCCAGCTAGGCTAGGTCAGAAGTGGAATAGGTCAAAATTCCTATGTGATCGTGAGTGGGATTGGGCCATGAGTAACCCTTGAGACCCAGTCTTTAAGGAAAAAAATAAGATTTGATGATAACTGTAATACCTTGGATTACCATAGCATTTTGCTTTTTAGTTCAATAAGTTTCTCTATAATTTCATTTTTCCTGACAACATGCCTTAGTATAGGAGTGGGCAGGAGTTATTTTTCTCATTTTTATCAACAGAGGACTTAAGGACTACAATTACCTTGAAAAATCACTGGTATAATGGGGACTGGAACCTAACTCTTTTTTTATACCTGGGTCAGTAGTCTTCTCGTAAGAGTTAGCTCCCCAAGGAATACAGATGGGGCCAAACAGACAACTGGAAAATGAGATAGTTAAATCATCTTGGCAGTGGGAGGGAAGAATGGTACTGAAACCAGTCGATACATTTACTTAATTCAGTCAAGATATAGACATAGGACTTTGGTCATCCCTCATGCCCACCTGACTACCTGTTTTTGGGGTCTGTAGCTTCTTTTCCCAGTCTAATGTTGATTTCTCAATGATGTGATTTTTTTTCCTGTCTTCCCTTCCTCTCCCAAGTTGCCCATTCTAGGGCATGTGTTACAGGGGTTATCTGTCAGATTAGTCTCTCCTCCTCATTCCTCTCCGTTCCCCCTGCCCCCAAACTCTTTTCAAGTTTTCTATATCCCCCCCCTTTTTTTTTCTTTTGGAAATCTATCAGGCATGGTACCAAGTTTCATTCCTTTAAGAAGAAAGATAAAACATGTAATTTTGAAATAATTAATTGTTCACTTTCCTAAAGTATTGAGTGTTCAAAGTAGACTGTAAGATAATTAATTTAGCAGTTAGGACAATCTTAATGTATCAGAATGGAGGGCAGAGGATGGCCATGGGATAGTGGATTCATTCCTGAGTGTAAAATCCTAGCTCAGGTCATCTTGCTTTTCACCTCTGAATAGTCTTATCTTTATTTTAGGAAGGTATGGAATATTTGACCATCCCAGTTCTGCCAGTCCACTGCTGTCTGGTTGTTAGAGCCCCCCTCAGCAGCTTTAGACCCCATTCATTACAGTGTGACAGTGTTCCTTAGGCAGGGTGGGCTCATTTCCATGGTACCAAAGCATCGAATAGTTACTATGGGGTTAGGCCATAGTTCTTTTCTTCCCTCTCCCCAGCCTCCCAAGAGATGCCTGATTTCCTTCAGGTGGAATTGGCCCTAATAAACCTGGTGCCATTTTATCAGTGATAAGCTTTTCCAGGATGATAATTGGTTTTTAGCCTTCTTTCCCAGCTTAGTTGATACCTGTCCATAGATTGTCTTGCTTAGAAGTAAGGTAACATGTAAATCTCCATAGGGGCATAGACTGTCTTGCTTAGAAATAAAGTAACATATATAAATCTGAAGTGATGTATTTTACTTTTCTCTACATGTTTATATTGCCTGTTTAGGAAACACAGCCAGAGCAGGGGATCCTACCTTCTTCCTCCTCGTACCGTGGCCCATCCCCACTCCCAGCATCTGGGCTCACTGGCTTGGACCTAGAACAGGAGATGCAGATGAAAAGTGAGGGCTCCTTTAGGAAAGGGAAGGGCATGTGCACGCTGGGCGACAACCCCTGGCCTCTTGTTGGTGCTTTGCCATGCAAGCTGCAGCCACTGTCCAAAGGCCAAGTTCCCCAAACCCACCAGATCTTTGATGATGTGGAAAAAATCTTAGGCAGAGCCCCAGTCCCAGGCAAGAAAGAACTCGGTGACCAGTTGGGCCTTCAGAAGCCCCAGAAGCTGGCAGAGAAGTTTTACCTGGGCTTTTCACACCCTGAAGCAGAAGAGCTAGAAATGATGACTAAACAGCTGAAATCTGGTATTCAGGGCCCTGAAGGCATCAGACCTTTCCAAGATGGCCCAGGGGTGTTAGAAAGTAGGAGTCAGTCCTCCATCAACTCAAAGCTCTCTGAAGCCATCAAGAACTCACAGGCAAAAGGGGAGCAGGTCTGCTATAACCTGTCCAAACTGAACCTCACTGGCCCTAGTGGGGACAAAGGCAGGAACCTGGCTCCCTCAGCAGGCCCAGGAAATGCAGCCTCCCTGTCTCCCTACAGTTCTGAGCACCCGTTGTCAAGCAGGAAGGGCAAGTTGCTTTTCATAGATAGCAATCCAGCAGAAGAGCTAAACCAACAAGAGGTCCTTGAGGAGGGCAGACTCTCCGGGAAAGGCAGGAGGAAAAGAGAGCCTCAGGGACTGTGGATGGGACAGACCTCTGGGCTCCTCAGCAAGAGTGACCAGGGCAACTGCAAGGAGTCTGAGCTTAGCCACTCTGAGGTACAAGCAATCTCGGCTCAGGATAGACTGCAAGGCCACCTTCTTGCTCCCCCAGTAAGTGCAGACATAGCACCACCCCTTGTACAGAAGGCAGCTCAGAATGCCCTTTCAAAGAATATCCGTGAAAGTATGCCTCTCCCCACTGAGATCAGGGAGATCTCCCAGCCACTGGGTCTTCCAGATGAAATCAAGAAGCCCAGTGCCTCTGAACAGGACCTGGAGAGCAGTAGCAGTAGTCTGGCCTCTCACCTGGGCTCACAGGTCTTGGGTGAGGTGAACAATTTCTCCTGGGACTTGCAAAACTCCCAGGAGTTAGAACTGGCAGCGGGCCAGTTGGGAGCCGGCCGACGGGCCCAACATGCCCGCTGTTTTCTAGAGTCCCAGTTGGTCCATACGCACAGCTCAACGGATGAGCAATCAGAAAGTGAAGGCTATTCTGAGGACCAGAGATTCTATCAGCACATACTGCAGATGGTCAAGATCTCTAGACGGCTAAAAGGCCCACTGCTGGCTGAGAGCATGCAGGAGATGCCGTGCGAGGACATTGCTAGCATGGTCTGCCATATGGTGGCTGGGTCACCTGGGTCACCCAGCACGGGTGAGCAAGAGGAAACTAAAGCCACTGAGCGAGAGTCAGGGCCCATGGCGTGGACACCAGAGCTCTTTCAGGGCCCAGAGGCAATAGGCAATGTTCCTGAAGGGCATGGGGCCGCACAGCAAATCTGTCTGCAGCCAGCAAGCAGGCCCCACAGGCAGGAGGAGGCAGAGCTGAACTGCAGCCGAGGCCCGGCTGCAGAGTCAGGGATGAGGCAGCTTTTCAATCAGGTAGGCTTCTCTGCAGGAATGAGTCAGGGAAGAGGATACGTAGGCGTGGCAGCTAGGGGAACGAGGGTGGCCGATGAGATTCGGTATTGTGAATGGGTTTTGAATCTGAAGATAGTCATTAGCTGATTTCCCATCATACTTCCCTCACTGAATGTTGATTTTTTAACTGCATATTTTGGGCATTTTTGGAGATGTCCTTTTCATCTGGTCTCCCATGAGATGGCATCCAAGGTTGCCTTTTCCTCAGTACTTAGTGGTAGCGCACAGATGTTTTAAAGAGAAACACGCCAGTCTATGGTCAAAGGGGAGTTGTTAGTGCTGGCCCCGGCATACCAGAAAGGGAGGGGTGGGTGTATTTCCAGGATGTGGGGAACCTTCTGTAGCAGCTGGTCACTTTGGAACTTTAAATAATTGCGATGGGAAAGAGGAACCATTTTAAAATTGTGTGCTCACCCTACAGCCTCAGATAAGTTAGGTCACTTGCCTGATGTCCTGCAACACCAGAGAGTTAGCATATTACCTAGGTGTACTTTAGACTCCAGAATCTCCTATCCACCCCGATCTTAGTTTTCTGCATCAGAAAATGCTGTGAATGTCCTCCTCCTGTCCTAGACTGTGGTGGCTACAGCTAGGGGAAATGAAGTGGGAGCCTTTCTTTTGTGGCTTCCCTTTTTTCTGTAGAGTAGGCACAACCAAGGGGTAGGGATGTTTGTCCTCAAATCAGAGGGATTCACACTAATTCAGAAGAAATCCAATAGACTAAGAGTGTGGGACAGAGTGGGGTTGAATTTGCCTGACTACCCTCTTGTTGCTGCCCAGCTGTGACTTCACCCAGTTGCTGCCTCCGGTTCCTAATTGCTGGCATGCATTAGTGCTCCGTTAGCTGCTAATAACTACTCTAGGACTATAAATATCGGATAAAGCTGCAGATTATCCTGAAAGTTTTAATTAGCCTAATGGCAGCAAGTTTATCCTCTCTGAAGGACAACTCTACCCAAAGCCCCACACTCACAGTTAATGGCCATCTGTAGAACATAATCAGCTAGGGGCCAAGAATGTGTAATTTCCCCGATGACCACTGATTTGGTAAAGGCTTGGGAGAACAAAGACCTCAGCGTGCCTGTCTCCTTCTCCCAATCCCCAGCATGATAGCGAATTACCCATGTTAGGAGTCTGTAATTTTCCATAAATACAACGCGGGGAGAATTTTGCTTGCTGACACACTGGAACTGATTGGAGGGAGTGTAGCCAGGAGGAACAGGCCCAGGCTTGCTCTCTAATCGCATCAGGAAAGCTTTCCTGTATGCTCTTCTTTTACTCCCCTACTATGAGATACTGTGCAGCTGCCTCATCTGTCAGGAGCCCAGGTTAGTTCTTAGGCAGCCTTTTATCTCCTTTCTTTGGATGCCTTACTGTCCTCTCCATTCAGAAATGGTTCTCTGCAAAGGAAAGCAGATGTTTTGGTCCCAAGTGCTCAGTCCTTGGCCCCCTAAGCTGAACCTGTGTAGGGAGGAATGGAGGAAATTTGTTTATTACATCAGTTGTCTGGGCTTTCTAAGTTGGACCCTTTCTGCATCCCCTACTCTGTGATTATACTCTGCACTTAGAAGGCCCAAACAACCAGGGAAAGCACTAAGGATTTTTAAGAACTCTCTCTAAATCATTACAGCATTGCCATTTATAACACCTTACTCTTGACAGGCCCCGATAATTGTTATTCCTATAAGGATGATGGTAATTTTACCTTCCACATGTAACAATTGAAAAAGTATTTTCACATTAATTACTTCATTTAGAATTAATAGTCAGCCAATAAGCTTTTATTCAGCACCGGCTATATGCCCGGCCCTGTGCTAAACACTGGAGATACAAAGAAAGGCAAAAGATAGTCCCTGCCCTTGAGAGGCTCACAGTCTAATGGGGGAGGCAACGTGCAAGCTACTATGTACAGATAAGCTACATACAAGATAAATAGGAGATAACAGATAGAAGGCACTGGAACTAAGAGGAACAGATTCCTTATTTTACAGATAAAGAGACTAAGACCCAGAGGGTTGTCACTTGCCCAGAGTCCCATGGATAACCAGTAGGGTTAGGAGCCAGGTTTCCTCCTTCCCAGTCCACTGCTATTTTCACCATACAACAGTCCTGTGAGATAGGCAAGATGAGTGGTACCCCCATTTTGTAGCTGAATACATTGAGGTTCAGAGATGTTAAATTCCTTGCACAAAGTCACGTGGGAAGTAAGAGATGGAGGCATCATCTGACCCCGAGTCTTTGGACTCCCGGTTCAGTGTCATTTCCTTTAGATCATGCTGCCTCCCTGGGCCATGGGTAACATTTCTGAAAGCAGGCACAACCAGCAGGGGAAGAGCAAGTGAGCCACTTAATCTCTATTCCAAGTGGAGAGATCACACCTTTTTGTATTGTGGCTTCTTGCACGTTCTCCTCAGTCAGCAGAGAGGGAAAGGTTCTTATTTTCCCACTTGTTGCTTGAAAGGAGAACAGTCCCAGGTAAAATCTGCCAGATGAATACGTATTGTTAATATTGAGCGGCAGAAGAGATAGGGGCACCAGTAAATCAATCTGTTATTTCCCAATGCTCTCAACATAATGTTAATTTCTAAATGTCATTTTTCATTGGCAGCCTCTGAACAGAGGAGATTTAAATTTGAGTGGGCAGAATGTAGATGTTTTATTTTTTATATCTGTCTCCAGCCCTCCTGGAGCCATATGGCTTATTAGGGTACATGACAAGGTGTTTCCTGTTGCCTAGGCCCTGGGTCCTTCCTTAGCTCCTGTTCATGTACCCCTGGGAGGCCTCGCTCCATTGCGCAGTCTCATGGATACCTCAGCCCCAACCTTCCGTTCATCCCCGAGTGTCAACATGGGAAGCTCAGTGGAATCTTCTCAGCCTTTGGAAACTACCCTGGTAAATGCTCTCTCTTTGTCTATGTGGCTGCTGTGGGGAGGTGGATGAATTCAACCAATAGCTCCTACTATGTACTTGGTACCATGACAGACACAATACAGAGAAATAAGAAAAATACAGGACACAGTCTGTGCTTTTAGGGAGCTCACTGTTTACTTGGGAAAACTAGACATATGCATATGAAGCAATTGGGGAATAAGACAGTATCTAATAATGTGCCAAATTGTGATCTATAAACATTTAGAGAACAAAACAATATGGCATTCGATAATTGGATGATACAGGCAGTAAATGCAATAGGAGTTGGAGGAGAGAAAGATCAGTGTGGATTGCAATCATTAGGGGAGGTTTTGTGGAGGTGGTGGGATGGAAGCTCAGCCTTGAAGGATTAGTAGGATTTGGATGGAAGAGAGGGGTAAGCTGTTCCAGATGGCAGGAAGAGCATGAGCAGTAGCAGGGAGGTGAGAATGACTTGAGTATGTTCAGGAGACATAAGAAGACCTGCCAGGCCAGAGTGAAGGATTCATATGGAGGAGTTGTGAACAGTAAGGCTAGATAGGGAAGGTAAAGAATGGCTTTGTAGTGCCAGGAGGAGAAATTTGGACTTTATCCACCCTTGGGGAGCCAATGTCAGTTTTAAAGTGAGGTAGTGACATAAAGAAAGTGGTATTTTTGGAAGGCTAATCTGATAGAGGTGTCTAGGATGATTGGCTGTGGTACTACCAGGAGACTGTGATAGTAATTTGTAAATAAATATGAGATCATGAAAGCCAGGACTAAGGTGATGATCGTAGGGTTCGGAAGAGAGGAACAAGTTGAGAATGAATGAAAAAGCATTTATTTATTAAGTGCTTATTATATGCCAAGTATTGAGCTAAGTGCTAGGAATACTAATGCAAAAATGAGACATTCCTGTCCTCAAGGAGCTTACTTTCTAGGAGGGGGAGACAACACATATAGTGTAGTGGTGTCCAGAGAGGGGTCTTTGGGTTTGGAAAGTCACAGGCATGCTGAGTGGAGCCATAGGATCCAATATAAGACCAATATGTGTCAAAGATTGACACACCTATTCCAGAATCATTGACAGTATTGATTTAATTATTGTTTCAGATCTGGAAAGCCAGAGTTGGGGGTGTAGCATGTGAAAAAATAGCCGAGGTGTCAAGAGAAGCTTGGTTAGAACTGTCTAGTTAGAGTGGGCCATGTGAGACACAGTGGAAAGGAAGAACTTGTAAGATTTGTTTACTGTGGTTGAATGCAAGGGGTCAAGGAAAGGGAAAGGTTGAAGATGGCGTCAAGGTCATATACATGGGGAACTGGGAGAAGGTTGTTGATGCCTTTAAGAGAAATGTGAAAACTGGATAGCTGGATAAGAGAGCTGCTTATAGGGATAGGGAGATATTTTAGGTTTTAGAAATGTTGAACTTGAAGTAATGGTGTACTGTCAGTTGGAAATGTGGTCCTGGAGATCAGGTAAGACATTGAAATTGGATAGAAAGATTTTGGAGTTGTCTGCATATAGCAGAGAAACCCATGAAGTCAGAGAGCACATAATCACCACTAGTCTTCATTAGTTGCTCACCTCTGTGGTGCTATGCCATATACTAGATAGAATAAGTTATACATAAATGGTTCTTGCCATCAAGGGTTCTTGCCCTCAGATAAAGAACATGATGTTGGATGCAGATACATGAAAGTACAGAAACCCAGACAGTTGTTTCTGAGCAACCCCAAGCAAAGTTTGCATGGCCCTTCTTTAACAGTTCCAAATGGGGCATTTTGGTTTATTCAGTCCTTTTTTAATCCCCTTGAAAGAAAGGATGAGGTGAGGATTGCACTTGGCTCATCAAACCCAGCTGCTTCCTTTTTTGGTTTGAATTTGTGCCCTTTTCTGGGCATCAGGCTGTGCCTATCAGCTAGCACTAGTTGCTCTGCTTCCCTGAAAGACTTGATTGTGGGCTACAGTAGGTTTGGGGAAAAAGAGCACCAAAGGAAGAAGGTCTCTGTGCAATACTTAAATCTTCTTAAGAGATGCTATGGATCTGTGTCATGTGGGGAGAATCTTTGCAACAGGACACATTGTGGTCACAGCATTGGATCTCACTTTGGAGACTCTTAGCTCTGATGTCTTTTTCACCCTCAATCCTTCAATTCTTGACTCCCTTTGGCATATGGGTGCTTCCTTCTTCCATTTTTTAGCTTCCACAAGGCCCCAAGACTTCTACCTACACCAAGAATCTTCTGGGCTCCATTCATGAGGAGAAGAACCCTCTCAACCTGCTGGCTCTTGGGGAGGAGACCAATGAGGAAGAGGAGAGTGATAATCAGGTAACGTACGCAACCTTTCCTTATCAAGAGATAATTGTTAGCCCATTGTTTGTAGTTTGTCCTCTTCACAAGAAGAGCACATAAAGGAGACCAGCCAATGTCAGCTTTTGAGCCATCAGCCCAAGAGAGCATTACCGTTCATCTTGGACAGGTGGTTGTTGGCAGGGTTGTTTGAGTGGGGGTCTTACCCATTAGTCCTCTCGAGGTTCCTGGTCCCTTCCTGGGACAGTAACACCCTTCTTCCCACCTCCCTCCCTTCTTCGCTTCCTCCTATACTCCTTAGTCTGAATAGGTCTTTTGTTCACTCTGCTTTCCAGAGCCTCCAAAGCACAGCTGGACTCCTCAAGAATCTGCACCTGGATATTGGGGTCCTGGGGGACAATTTTGATTATGAGGTAAGGTTGACATTTCCCTTAAGGCACATTTCCAATCCTGGCCTGTTCCCTCCATCCCAAGGACCTTTGTGATGTGCCGGTTGTGTTCCTGGAGGAAAGATCATTTCTTTTTAGCCCTGTTCAAGTGGTAGTGAGGAGGGAGATGTGGAGAGAAGCGGGCTAATTAAGTTAATAGGGGGAACTCTTCGTCCATTCACTCAACAAGTATTTATTTAGTTCCTACTGTGTATGGGATGAGAGGCAACATGGCATGGTAGATAGAGAGAGGAAGACCTGAGTTCAAATCCTGCTTCTGACAAATGATAACTATGTAGTCCTGGACAAATCATTTAACCTCTTAGTGCCTTGAACGTCACTCTTAGATCTGAAGGTGCTGACCTGTATCAGTAGAAGATACCTGTCCCTAGGAGCTCGCTATTCTGATTAAATCACGGGTCTAGTAAAAAAAAATGTATAACATACCATGCTGGTTCTTAGGGAAAATATGAACATGACATATTTAAGACATAGTTCTTGGCTTCAAGGAGCCTACAGAGAGCTGAAGGGAGGAGGCAGAATGCATTTCTCTGTCAGAAAGTTACAAATTAAATGTGCAGAATTAAGAGGAAGGAGAGATTACTCCCAATTTTGTGTTAAGGGGCAATCAGGAAACAGCCTATAGAGGTGGCTAAACCTTGAAAAATGTGTAGAATTTTCACAGGTGGAGATGGCATTCTGGGTAGAAGGAATAGCATAAGCAAAGGCACAGAGGTGGGAAAACTCGAGCTGTATGGATACTGGTAAGTAGTTCAGTTTTTCTGAAGCATTGAGAAAGGTAAGGAAAGAATAGATAGAGGCGGAGAAACTGGTTAGAAAGCTGTTGTATCTTGATAATGACGATTTTTTTGAACTAGGTTAAAAGCAGTAGGAATGGAAGAGAGGGACACAGATTTGAGATATTGAATTAGAATAAATAGGTTTTGGCAATTAATTGGATGAGAAGGTGTGATTATGTCTGGGGAGAGATATAGTCAAGGATGACTCCAAGGTTTTGTGCCTGGGGAAATGATGGGGCCATTGATCAAAATAGGGAAGTGCTTACTCTGTGCCATGAATTGTGCTAAGTGCAGAAAAAGGGAAAATCAGGAGGAATAGAAGGAGCATCAAATTGGAAGTCAAAGGACCGGGATTTGACTCTGGCCCTGTTACTACCGCTGTGATTCTGAGCAAGTCACCCATCCTCTCTGGGCCTCAGTTTCTTAATCTCTAAATGATGGGGTTGGGTTAGATGATCTTTTAATGCCCTTTCTGGTTTTAAGCTTTATGAACCCAGTGATGATTTTAAATTTGAGGTGTTGGGAGGACAACAGGTTGGGGATGGTTAGCAGGTATCTGACAAGAAGGAACTGGTGATCAGGACAGAAGTTGGGCCAAGAAACGTAAATGTGGGAGTCATTTTCAGAGGTGATTGTTGCAATGATGGGAATGGACCAGATCTTCAAAGGAGGAGGATTGGAGAGAAAATGACTTTTGGTAATGCGCTTATTTTTGGGGGTGAACGAGGTGGAGAAGGAGCAGAGAGGTAGAAAGAGAACTGGGCTAGCAGAGAGGGGGGTCAGCACCATTCCTTCCTCTCCACTGTGCCCCTTTTTGTTAGTGTTTTTATCAGCCAACAAAACTGCCTTTTTTTTTTCTTTTGGCAAGGCAATGGGGTGAAGTGACTTGTCCAGGGTCACGGAGCTACTGAGTGTATCTAGCTGCCCCCCAAAACTGCCTTTTGTCTTAGACATACTTTTTCCTGAAATACTTCTTCCATCTTCTTGCACTTATAAAACCCTGACTCCCTCCAGGAGATACTGAGTCTCTGGTCACTCTCTCCAGTGCTGGATGAGTGCTCCAGGACCTTCCTTCATGCCTCCAGTGTGCTAGGCCAGGAGCAGTACTAAGCATATTCCTTACTCTTCACCACCATCTACCAGCCATTCCTTTGACACTAACTCAGCAACCTCTTCTCCTTTGAGGTTCACTCCATCCAGAACTATTGCCCTGTTTTGATCCTGGTGGCTATTAACTGGCCCCCAGGTCATTGTCTCCTCTTTCTCAAGGAATTCACCACCTGGCTCACAGTCTTCTTTATACCCCAACCTCTGCCCTCATACTAGGTGCCTTTAATACACCTGCTGATGACCCCTCAAATACCCTCACCTTCTGGTTTCATTTCCCCAACTCCTATGACCTGTACCTTTATTCTACATCAACTATATATATGAATGACTTTGATCACGATGTCACGTGTAACTTTGACTTCCATGATACAGACCCCTGAGATTCCTTTCTCAGACTGTAACCTTTTTAAGTTTTTGGGGAAAAATCATTGATATCATTTGTTTTTTATACCACCTTAATTTCTAAATCTATCCCTCCCCTGCCTCTCTGCAGAGGGCCATTTCTTATAATGAAGAATAAAAAATGAAAAAAACAAACAAACAAAACACACACAGTTGTGTAAAATTAACACATCAATCCAATCTGATAGTATCCTTTCAAAACTACCTTGTATTTAACTCCTTTATATATTTTGTATTTATTATGCCTTTTATATATCTTGGCATTTTGTTTGTTTGTTTGTTGGAGAGGTAGTATAGCATAGTGTTGGACTTGGAGTCAGGAAGACTTGGGTTTAAATCCTGCCTTAGACATTGTGTGACCCTGGGCAAGTCACTTAACTCTTCTCATTCTCAGATTTCTGCCCCATGGGAATCATATCTTTAGCTCTTACCTCACAAGGTTGTTGTGGGGATCAGTGAGAGAATGTGTAGAAAGTGTTTTGCCAACTTTAAAGTGGTACATAAATGTAATTCATTTATTTTCCTGTCTATATTGTTTCTTTTCATTTCCTCAAGAGTGGGGATTGTTTCATGTTTGCCTTTGTTTTCCCATGGCTGTTAGCACAGTGCTTGGCACGTAGCAGGTGGACCCTTAGCAAATGTTTGTTGAATTGAATTGATTCTCTCAGTTCTCTTTTGGCCTGGCGCTGTTTCCTGGGTGTCTATGAGCTAAAGCTCCAGGACAGAAATGATACTCAGACAGATTTCCTTTCCAGGAATGGGTGCATCGTCCAATTGCTATTATTTGGCCAAATGAGGACCCTGATGTGTGCTGGCTAGGGTTCCTTTTGGGTTTCTTGTTAATTGATAGTTTCTTCATACATAAGCTAGGGAGTCTATTTAAAAAGATTCCTGATTGTTTCTGAACTTTCACTTTGATTAAAGAATTTTTAGAATCATTGTATCTTAGAGCTGGAAGAGACCTCCGAAGTCATCTCATTCATCCCCTTCTGGAATTTAGTGTAGTTCTTCAAGCTTTTATAAAGTGCCTACTATGTGCTTGGCACTGGAGATATAACAGACAAAAACAATCTAGCTCTTTAAGGATAATACATTCTACCGGGCTATAGGATGGGAGTGGAGGAGGAAATAATATGTATACGGACAAACTCAAAACACACATACAAAGCAGGAACTTAAATGAAAAGTAATTTCAGGGGAGGTGAGCATTAATACTCAGATGAATCCCCAAATGCCTTGTGTAGGAGGAAGCACTTGTGCCAAACCTGGAGGAATTCCAGGAGATGGAGGTGAGCAGAAAGTGTCCCAGATGTGGGGGATCCCAGCCTGTAGAAAGATACACAGGTGGGAGAGGGAAATAGCAAGGAGTTCAGGTTGTCTGTAATGTATGTAGAATGTGTGAGGGAGCATGCTGGGAAATCAACCTAGAAAAACAGTCAGGAGCAAGTTTGTGAGGGGTTTTAGGTGTCAAACAGAGAAGTTTGTACTTTACTCCAGAGGTAATAGCTTCTTGAGCAAGGAAGGGCGTGACATGATCACGCCTGCGCTTTAGGAATATCACTCTGGCAGTTGTGTGAGGGGAGGTTGGAAGCAAGGAGACCACACAGTAGATTGTTACCATAACCCAGGGGACAGGCAACGATGGCCTGAAATAGTTTGATAACTGAGGGAGTGAGTGAGTGGAGGGAAGGAGTGGATGATTGGGATGATGTGGAGGTAGAAGTGACCTAGTGTGGCAGCTGGTTAGATACGGGGACTCAGGGAGAGTAGAGCATTAACTGTTTCTTCACAGGGGCACCTCCCACAAAGGATTCCCAACACTCCATTACGGATGGGTAACAAGTGTGACACGTGGAGAGGTGAGGGTCTAGCAGTTGTTAGTATCTGACGAATCTGCTCTGAGGCTTGGGGGCGGGGTGGTTAGGCACATTGACAGAGACCCACTTAGGTCCTCCCTTTCTGCCTTTCTTCTCCCAACCGGTGCTCACTGTTGAATTTCTACATCCTTCCTGAAGGAAGAGAGGCTGGATTTTACCGCAGGGAGAAGTTTGCATTCAGGGCTTAAAGGAATCCGTATGGGAAGAGGGGGTAGCTCTCCTTGAGCCTTGGTCGGCTGGTGATGTTGGTGGATAAAGGACTGGGCACAGAGACATGGGCAAGTTGTCTAAGGCACAGACACGCTGTCTGGTTTGGACCTTCGGAAACCAGTGATCCTTCTGGTCGCTTTGCACTTTCCCCTCTTTCCTATTTCTGAGTACAGAGTACTTCCAAAGGAGTCCTCAGCTGCAGGTTGGCTGGTCCTTCCTTTGACTGTTGGTGATCATTTTGCTTGTCATTCCATGAGATGGCAGTAGGGAGCAGCAACATTCATCTCTCTCTCTGTCTCTCTCTCCCTCCCCTTCCCCCAGCTACCCTGCCCCCTTCTCTCCTATTTACAGATTTCTACGCATCTCTAGTCTTATTACAGAATCAAAAAGAAAAGATTCATGAAATAGATGTTGGGAATGAGTGTGAGGAAAGGGGGAGGCTGCAGGGCAAGGGGAGCAGACAGCATGTTGGGTCAGTGAAAATCCCATCGGTCAGCAGATCAAAGTTGAGGAAGCCAGGACTTTAGACTGACAGGTGATGATGTCAGTGTGATTGGAAGGTGCTAACAACACCGGGGAGAATTATAAAGAATTGAGACTAACTGGGCAGGGAAGGAAGCATGGAAAATAAATTGGACTGACTGCAAGCCCACTGGGAAGAAAAAAGAAGACTGCTAACTCCCAGGGTAGGATCCATGCACAAACACTATTTTCCAGGATTTTTTTCCCCCTGCCTCTTTACCTTTTGTTCTTTGTTGATTTTAGGAGCTCTCAACCTTTGTGCTCTGGGCAGGAGGAGAGGGACCTGTGGGTATTGAAGCTGTCATCTCTCTTGGGGGGAGTGTGTTAGATATTCCTGGAGTGTGTCTTAGAGGCACTACCTCCCTCTGCATGCAGATGGCGAGGCTTTTTCTGCAACCATGGCAGAAACTTGCTTAGAAATGCTCCAGAACCTGGGGCTATGACAACGGAGGAGGGAACAGGACCAGGCATGGGTGACTAGAGAACAAAACTGTGCTGAACAGAGAGTAACAAAGCATTTCCCACATGGCCCACAGAGCACAGGAGGTCAGGCAGCTTGTGTCAGAAGCTTCATGCCTTAGTGAGGAGTCCCACGTTCTTGGATTTAGTGGAATGAGGATGGGGAATGAAATGAAAGCAGAAATTTGTGAAAGTATGTAGGTTTTTTTTAAAGCATTCTGCTCTCCTTTATCTGCATGTAAAATTATCTACGTGGTGTTTCTCTGCGAAAAATATTTAGTTCTGTTTTAGTGCTCCCCTGACACGTAGGAGGCCTCACTGCCCCCCTCTTTTTGTTGTCATTATGTTTGGTGGTGGATTCCAGCCTATATTAATTTTAGTCTCAGTGTAACATAATAGTAACTTAACTGTCATATTATGCTTTAAGGTTTACAAAGTACTTGCCTCATAAGAGCCCTGTGAGGGAGGTTTGGAAATTAAATGACTTGTTCGGGGCTGCTTAAGTAATGGAGAAACTGAGATGTGAACCCTGATTTTCTGTCTTTAAGACCAATGCTACACCTCTTGAGGAAAACACTTAGAAAGTCAGGTTTTCTGAATTTCTGAATTATTTGCTGAATAACCCCTGCTCTGTGAGGATCCAGAATTTCAGATTGGATAGACTGAGTTTAATCCAGTCATCTAGTGTAGAGAGATTTCGTGATTTGCAAATCTCTGATATAATGGAAAGGGCTTAGTTTTGAGAAATCTCCTTGTGTCTGATGTCTTCTGATTTTAATCAGCTCTCGAGAAACATTTTGCACATTAAAACAGCATACTGGAGCAGCTAGGTGGCTCAGTGGATAGAGCACTGGCCCTGAAGTCAGGAGGACCTGACTGGCCTCAGACATTTGACACTTAACTAGCTGTGTGACCCTGGGCAAGTCACTTAACCCCATTGCCTAGCAAAATAAACCCCCAAACCCAGTCAAACAAACAAACAAGAAAAAATCTCCAGCATACCGCTGCTTGGGATAATAAACCCAACCCAGGATGATGACGCCTTCATTCCTCTGGGTTGGGTTGCCATCCACAAGAAATTTATTACTCTGAGGAACAGAACCTTTCTCAGACCTTTGAGAATTCTGCTGCCATGGAAAGTTAGAAGAGTTGGATACCATTTGCATGAAGCTCCTATTTCCTTCATCCCTGATAATGGCAGATATTGCTTCTGGGTGAGGTTGTGGCTTAGTCTAGGAAAACTTTCCTGGCTGTGGTCTACCATAGTAGGAAGCATACATACACACATACGTGTATACATATATATGCATGTACATATATACATACAACATCTATATGTATATATATACACACACATTCACGTACATGTACATATATACACATGCATGCATGCGTACACACACGCTCCTCTATCAACTTCACCCTTCATTTCTCTTCTGGATCAGGAAGAGTTTAGTGGCAGCTAATGTATGGCTCACGACTCCTGAGTCTCCTCTCCCTTACAACCCTTTGGGTATCATAAGAGTGTCACCATATACAGTCTTTATTCTGTGTTGGCTTATTAATAAGATGCAGGAGCTACAAGCAGTACCTTTGGGGTTGGTGAACAGTTATTATCCTTAGATGGAAAACACCGAATAAATTCTAAGTTCTTTTTTTGTGTTTGTTGTTTAATTTGCTCTCCAGTGATTTTTTGCTTCTTGTTTGATTGAACATTCAGGGCAGAGAACTACAAAGTCTTAAAACCTCTCATCAGAATTGTTCAAATCAGTGGCACAAGCATGTTTGTGTGAATGTTTTATGGGATGAAAACTACCCCTCCCTCTGCTGTCAGTGTGAGCCCAGGAGAGCTTGAACTGGCCCCATTTCTGAGTGTGGTTTTTACTTTCCTGCTGTGATTGGACCTGAGGCAGGTTTGATTGACTAGAGGCAGACAAGTGTAAGGTTTGTGTATAGGAAATAGCACTTGAATCAGCTTCATCTCCAGCTTCCAAGGTCAGCGTCCTGTATGGGATATGCATCCAGGGAACTAGGGAGTGCATCTTCAGCTGCCATGGAAGGAGGGGGTCTCTGCTGCCTTTTAAAATCACAGATTTCTAACTCAGACTTTTTTGATTAAAAAGAAAAAGCACTGAAAAGAAGACACACAATCCTAGGTCTTTTGTTTTCCTCTGGCATTAAAACACGCTCCAAACTTCTTGGTAAATAGCTAACCTTGAATGCAGCAATGAAAACCTTGAGTTGATTTTTCTCAACCTGATGTCTACTTAATGAAGCCCCACGCCTCATAAATTCTAGGTAGATGCTACCACGCAATCTTGGCCCCTCTGGAGCCTCTGGAATTTCCCCAGGTGCAGCCCAAGAAGCCCTTACTTAGACCTCATTACTAAAGATAAGCTGGGTTAAAAAATAGTTTATTGATCCCAGGCAACTTTTTAAAATTGTAAGTTACTGATGACTATGGATCTACATCCTGGAGGGGTTTCCATACTGTATCCCATGATGGGAGACTTGTAAGGAGGCTCGGTGACCATCTAAGCTGTCCAACCCATGCACCAGAGGAAGCTGGCCTATAATATACCATACAGAAGGTTGTTGGACCCATGCTTGAACACCTCCAAGCAGGTGGAACCCACCACCTCTGGAGGCAGTAGAGGAAGAAATGAAAGAAAAAAAAAAACGGTTATATAAACCTGGGGTAAAAAAATTCTCAGAATTAGCTCAATACTCTTTTTTTCTTATTTTTGCCCCCCCCATTTTGCTTTCCCTTATGGGTTTTCCCCTGGGTTTCCCCCCCCCCCCCCCCCCCCCCCCAACCCCACTCCAGCAGCTGAAGATTGGGAACAGAGTAACACAATGGGCCATTATTGGTTAAATGTCCTAATCTTTTATAGAGTATGCTAGATGTTCTGGTCCACTAGGGGGCGAAAAGAGTCTCACATTCAGGTCAAAACCTAGTGCTTTTTCTTAGCAATTTCCCTAACGCCCCCCAGGACCCCCTTGATTTGGGTGGTTTAGTTTGTTTTTGCCATCCACTGAAGTCTTGCTCTGAGGGTTCAATGTGGTATGCAGGTGACCTTGGTTTCTCAGAGGCCCTGCCAGTGGAGCCCAAGTTCTGATGGGTAAGACCCCTGATAAGCCTGGAAAGGCGCCAGTGAGGGACAATGAGAACCAGCCCGGTTTGAACTTGGGAGGCTCCTCACTAGAAGGTTGGCCACTTGGCAAGGAGATTTTTATGTGTGTGCACGTATGTGCCATAGTAACTCATGAAGAGGGCTTGTGGTCTTTGTAGGTGAAAGTAATAGATATATACTAAAGAAATCCTGACTCTCTCAACATATCTCTTAATTTCACATGATTCTCAGGCGTTGTTTTTAAAAAGATTGATTTCTGAGTCTGCTTGTCACCTTCTGTCTCAGACTGGGACCAGGAAGGGTGTCAGTACTGCCAGGGGCAGCTTCACCCTTTATGGTGGAAGTGGTAGGTGGTGAGTATTGCCTGAGATGAGTGAATCCATTTTTGTAGCCATCATTTTAAGTGACCTACATTTTTGTGGGAGTCAATATAGTCTAGGGCTGGGAACATTGGGTGGTATCACCATCTTTCCAAGTACCTAGGCTGAAAACCTTCAGTCATTTTTTGGACTCCTTTCTCTTTCTTTTCCTCTTCCATGCAAGCAGGTGGTAGATTGGGTCATTTTTGTCTGTAATATTTTTCATATCCATCCCATCTTCCCTATTCCTACTATTGTTACTATAGTTAATACTCTCCTTCCCTCACAGAGTGTGAGGTCTCTCTAGTTTGTTTTACACAGCTGTCAGATTAATCTTCCTATAACAAGCTCTGATCATGTCACTCCCTTGATCAGAAACTTTCATTGGTTTCCTGCTGTCTACTGAATGAAGTCTAAACCCCTTTGCCTAGCATTCGAAGCGAATCTGGTCTCAGCCTACTTTTCCAGCCTTACTTCCTGCTATTTGCATTTACTACCTAGCCAAACTTGACCATTCCCCATTCCCTAAACAAGACCTGAACATGACCTCTCTGCCTTTACTTATGCTATTTGCTATACTGGGAATGCATTTCCCCTCGATCTTTCTTTTGAAATTCTAAGGCATAGCTTAAATGTTCTCTCTGTTATGAAGCCTTTCCTGATCTCCTAAGCTGAAAGTAATCCCTCTCACCTTCAAAATTTCATAGCTCTTTGTTTCTGCTTTTTATGTAACAATTATATGTGACAATTCTATATGACATATCAAGATGTATACATATATACACATATATATGTATATCTGTATTGGTAGTCATTTGTATACTTGTACCATCTCCCTTATTAGACCATAAGTTCCTTGGGGGCAAGGACTATGTCTTATTCTATGTATCTCCCATGGTGTTTGGTACTTAATAAGTGCTCAGTATCTACTTGTTAAATGAATGAAGGAATCTAGTTGACCATTGATAAAATTCATTAACCTTTTGTTAAATATCTTAACCTCTCTTTGCACTTCCCCCAGCATTTTTTTTTTTTTAACATTTATCCACCTGCTACCTAGGAGTCTCCAAGAAGCCAACTAGAGGATAAAAAGGAAACATCTCTGGGTTCAGATATCCCCTGCCCGCGGACTTCCGATAAGCTCTTCAACCGAGGTGTAGGTAGCAACCTGGGCAGTGCAGATGGTGAAGGCCGACGAGGGAAGCTGGCAAGTGCTTGGCTCCCAGATAAGGAAGACAGTGAGAAGGGTGACCCTGGGGCCTCCCGGCCACATATGACTCAAGTGGTAAACCCGGGGACTGTTGAAAGTACTGGAGCAGCCACCAAGCAGTCGTTGGAAAACCCGGTGGTGGCTGGAGAGGTGGGCTGTGAGAAAGAGGAGGCAGTGAATGAAATAGAGAAGGAACTGACAGAGCCGAAAACAGAGAGCAGATTGGATGTCAATGAAGTAAGTCACCTTCTCATGGGAGCAGTTCCTGCCTCTACTTCCTTGCTGCTTTTGTAAGCACGCTACAGAATCTTAGGCTTGCATCTTTATTACAAAGGCAGGAAGCTCCATTTGCAGACCTTCAGTAGACTGTCAGAAACAGTTACAGAGCCAACAGTTACAGAGCCTTAATTGTGACAAATATTCCCAGGGCCCAGTAGGGCAGTAAAATACTGGATCAGGCTTTAAGCCTGCTGGCACTGGAAAGTCAGAGCAGAAGTTGGTTTGTCGTCTAGCACCTCCATGCATCTTAATGCTCTGTTTGTCTCCTACTCTCTATTTCCCTTCCTTCCCATTGTCTTTTACAGTTGTGGTTTGGACCCTACCCCCAGGTCTCTGTCCTTGCCCACCACACCTGGTTATGTTACTTTTCCATAGTCTCAGAGATATCTTTCTCCTAATTATGTCCTTGGTGATTTGAATAGAACCAACTGTGGACAGATTCATACTGGATCTGCCCAGCCAAAGTGTGGAAAATGTGGCAGTTACTATGGAGAGAAGGCATGTATCTATCCAGATCGTTCAGGCTAGGACAGATAGATTTCCTTTTCTTTTGGGCAGGAATAATCTATGCAGACCAAAATATATGTGCTTACAGTGTGAACTGAATTGAATTTTACAAATAATTACAGAACCTTTCTCTTGATTGTGTTGGTATAGCTATAAATCTTTTGTGGTGTATTCATTTATATGATTTTTCTTTATGGATCTTCACCCAGGAGTCAGAGATCAGTGACCACGTGAAAGAGTTGCAGTTCTCAGACCATTCTGATCCCAAGTCATTTCTTGGCCTGGTAAGTCAGAGTTATACCTGGACTCACATGGACTTCCTCTGGTATATCACATCAACCTGGAAGCTCAAAGATAGGGGTCACTCTCATTTTTATGGTCTTGGAGCTGGAGTGGGGATCAATCCTAGAACTTTAGTACTTTCTATAAAGATAAAGTTTTGTGTCAGAATGTTGTCACCATTATATTTTCTTTTAAAAATATCTTATTGATATCTTTCATTTTTATGATTTCTTAATTTTTGAATAAATCTCATTCCTACCTAGTGAGCTATCCCTAAAAACCATTAAAAAGAAGGGGAAAAACAGTTCAGCAAAACTAACCAAAGTATCCGTTAAATCTAGTCTTATATTCAGTGTTCCATCCATGGTGTCCTCCCTTGGTAAAGAAGAGAGAGAGGAGGAGAGGAGGCACTCTTATATATTCTCCATACTAGGCTTTCTACCTTGCTGCCTGGCATTTTTTTGCCTGGTATCCTTGGTGTTTTGACTGACATGCTCACTTAAGGGGAGAAACTGGTGGAGTTTCATTTTTTGGCAGGACAGCCATTCAAGAAACAGTCCAGTTTCTGTAAGTAGGTGGAAGATTAAAAAGAAGGGATTAATAGGGAAGGATAAAAAAAATTGCTGTGAGGTTAGGAAGAAAAATGGAGAAATGAAGAGGTTGTGGGCCCCCTGTGGCAAGCTGCCCTACAGGTTTACAAAGACTGATGGTAACTGGGGAAAACTAGGGTAGGATCCAAGCCAAAACAGAACTATCACTAGAGGAGAAAACTCCAGAAACCTGAAAGTAGGGTGCACAGGGCCAAAACATTATTGGTAAGTGTGGTCTGAGAAGAGTAGCCATGTCATCAAGACCTGTGGAAGAATGAACCTGATTTTTTAAAAAAGGAATTGTCCACGTGAAGGAGGATGCCTTCAAGCATCTTTGGGTTGTGGATAGAAAGAACCATGGGCATCAGGACCAGAGCCTTGGCTGAGAATCATGTTATTTATCAGTGCTAATGGCTGAACTATTCTAATTAGCATGTGGTCAGGTAGCAGTCCTTTAGCTATCAAAGAGGAGCACTCAGACTGGGAGAGCATGGGGCCTATGGGATGATACCTCCTGGAGCAAATTGGTGTATAGGTCTGATATTTAAATGTAGGCAGTTGCTTTTTATTAGCTCTGATAGCACCCAAATCCCTTTGTTAAGATTAGGGATTCTTCTGTCAGGGCAGCTCTGGAGTCAGGAAGACATGAGTTCAAATCCATCTTCAGACACTTAGTAGTTGTGTTACCCTGGGCAAGTCACTTAACCCTGTTTACCTCAATTTGTCATCTGAAAAATGGGCTGGAGAAGGAAATGGCAAACCACTCCATTATCTTTGCCAAGAAAATCCCAAATGGGGTCATGAAGAGTCAGCCGTGACTGAAATGACTGAATGACAACTATAATAATTCTTCTGTAAGCCTGCTCATGCCTCAGGAAGAAAGGGATGTAACAGTAATTAGGTGGGGCCCTGCTTCTACTGGCTATGATGGAGAACAGTGAGGATTAGCATGTGTAGTAGATTTAGGATTCCCTTTGGTCTCTTTGGGCTATGAATTCATACCTCCTTTGCCCTTAGGACTTTGGTTTTCGAAGTCGGATCTCTGAACAACTGCTGGATGTAGATGGATTGTCCCCGGTCCTCGATGGACCCATCTGGGAGGTGAGCTGAGCTAAATGTTGGACCAAGGACAGGTGGGACCCATTCTGCCTGTCATGACAGGAAAAGTCTGAAGCAGCATACACATTCCACACTGTTGGCCCCCTGTGTTTGGAAAGGCGGGGTAGGGAGGAAAGGTGTGTTTTCCCATATGTCTTCTTTGGGGGCCATTTGCATTGTTGTAGTCACTATATTTATTATTTTTCTGGGTCTGCTTGTTTTTTGCATTGTTTTGTATGCATCTTTCCATATTTCTCCACATTCATTGTATTTGTCGTTTCTTACAGAGCAGAAATAGTCTATTACGTTCACGTACCACAATTTGTTTAGCCAATCTCCACTTGGTGGACATCTATTTATTTCTAGCTCTTCGCCACCAGAAAAAGTGCTGCTATAAATATTTTGGTGCTTATGGAGAAGCCTTTCTTATTGTCATTGACCTTTTTGGGATATAAGCCTAGCAGTAGAATCTCTGGGGTCATGTTAATCACTTTATTTGCATAATTCCAAATTGCTTTCCGGAATGGTTGTACCAGTTCACAACTCCACCAACAATACATCAATATGCTTGTCTTTCCATAATCCCTCCAACTTTGACTATTCCCATTTTTTTTCTCATCTTTGCCAATTTTTGGGATATGAGTTGAAATTTCTGGGTTGTTTTGATCAGCACCTCACTTTTTAGTGATTTGTAGGACTCTTTAATCATATTGTTGTTGATAGACTTTTATCAGAGATATTTGATAAAAATATTTTCCTCATTTAGCTGCTTCCCTTCTTATCCTGTTTCCTGTAAAAGTTTTCAGTTTCATGTAGTCAAAATTATCTACTTTATCTTTCGTAATTGTCTCTGTCCTTTGTTTAAGAATTCGCTCTCTGTTCATAGCTCTGAAAGGTATATGATCAGCATGCTTTCCTTCTATTTTTTTATGGTATGATCTTTAATATTCAGATCATGTTTCTGTTTTGAATTTATTGTGGAATATGATGTTAAGATGTTGGTCTAAGCCCAGTTTCTTCTAGACTAATTTCTGGTTTTCCCAACAGTTTTTATAAGATGGAAAATTCTTTACTAGGTAATTTTTTGGGGGGTTTGTTGAAACACTGGTTTGTTGAGTTCAGTCATTTCTGATTTTTCCTTGTCTAGCTTGTCTGTTGATCTACTTTTCTTTTTTTTTTTTAACAAGTACAAAATGATTTTGATGATTGCTGCTTTATAATATAGTTTGAGATCTGTGAGTGATAATATTCCTTCATTTTTAGTTTTTTTGCCCATTATTTCCCTTAAGAGTCTAGGAATTTAAAAAAAAATTATTTTGTTTAGCTCTGTAAAGTATCCCTTTGGTAGTTAGATATAGTATAAAATCTATAAATTAACTTTGGTAGTATTATCATTTTATTATACTGCCACAGCCCAACCACAAATACTACATATATTCCTCCAACTATTTACGTTGTCCTTTATTTCTATGAGGTGTGTCTTGTAATCAAAACTATACAGGTATTGAGGGTGATTTAGTAGATTAACTCTCAAATATTTTATGCATTTTGTAGTTACTTTGAATGGCACTTTTTTTTCTATTATTCTTTCCTGCATTTTGTTATTGATACATTGAAATGCTATTGATTTTTGTGGGTGTATTTTTTAGCTGAAACTGTTAATTGTCTCATTTAGTTTCTTTGCTGATTCCTTAGTATTTTCCAAACAAGCCATATATCAGCAAATAGGGATAGTTTTGTCTCCTATTTACCTACCTTTATGCCTTTAATTTCTTTCTCTTCTCTTTGCTATTGCTAGTGGTTGTAGAACTATATCAAATAATAGCTGGGAAAGAGAGTGTTCTTGCTTGATTCTTATATTTATTGGGAAAACTTCTAGTTTTTTCCCATTATATATAACATTTGCTTTTGGTTTTAGATAGATACTTTTTGTCATATTAAAGATTCATCTATTCTTATGCTGTTTGGTATTTTTTTTTTTTTTAGCATAAATGAGTGCTGTGCTATGTAAAAGGCTTTTTCTGCATCTATTCAGCTATCACGTGTTTTTAGATACCTGTTTTTAATATGGTTCATTTTTGAGTTAAATTTTTTTTCCTAATATTGAACTATCCTTTCATCCCTGGTAAAAATATAACTTGATCATAATAAATTATATTTAGCATAAGTTGATGTAGTCTTTTTGCCAGGATCTTATTTAAAATGTTTGAATCAATTCATTGGTCTATAGTTTTCTTTCTTTGCTTTATCCTTCCCTGTTGTAGTTTTCGTATTATATTTGTCTCATGAAACAAGTTTGGTAGGGTGATTTCTTTCTCAATTTTTGAAAATACTTCATATAGTAAAGATATTAATTGCTTTTTGAAAATTTTATAAGATTCTTATACAGGTAACTAGGTGGCTCACGCGGTAGAGTCGTGGGCCTGCAGTCAGGAAGACCTGAGTTCAAATGCGGTCTCAAACACTAGCTATGTGATCTTGGGCAGATCAGTTAGCCTCCTTCTGTCTCAGTTTCTTCAGCTGTAAAATGGGGATGATAATAGCACCTACCTCTTAGAGTTGTTGTGAGGATTAAAGTGAGATAATATTTGTAAGGTGCTTAGCACAATGCCTTGTGTGTAGCAGGTACTATATAAATGTTAGTTATGATGATGAAAATCTATCTTTACTAGTTTTTTTCTTTTGTAGTTTCTTTACAGTTAGTTCTATTTCCTTTTCTGAGATTGAGTCATTTACTGTTTATTGTTTTTTAGTTTGGATAGTGTGTGTCTTTGAAGGTAATCCTCTATTTCTTTTATATTCTTAGTTTTCTTGGCACATAAGTATGCATTGTGGATTCCAAGACTTCTTTTTTTCTTTCTTCTGGTGCGGTGATTTCATCTTGTTCTTTTTTGATTTTGTTAATTTGTTTTTCTGCTTTCTTTTTAATCAGGCTGACTAAAGATTTTTCAGTATTTTAGTCAGTTCAGAGAACCATCTTTTATTTATCAGTATAATCTTTTTATAGTTTCTAATTTATCCGTTTCTCCTTTAATGTTCAAGATTTTTTCTTTTGTGCTTTTTTGAGTTTATTTTTTGGCTTTCTAATTTTTTAAAATAAAAAATTCATTTATCTTTTTTCTGTCTTGTTAATGTATGTTTTTAGAGATTTAATTTCTCGTCTGAGAATTGCTTTATCTGTATCCTAGAAATTTTGTCGTGTTGTCTCATTATCTTTGTTTTTCATGTAGTTATTTATTTTTTTTCTGTTATTTGTTCTTTGCCTCACTTTTTATTTAGGACTTCATTATTAAGTTTCCATTTAGTTCTGTCTTTTGTTTGTGTTCCCTACATTGATTACAATTTTAAAAAAAATTATATTATGGTCTATAAAGGTTCTTTATGGTCTATAACTGGTTCTTTGACCCTTGGAAAGTTACTTAACCTTTTGGTGCTCTAGGCACCTATGAGTCTGTTTATTTCAGAGAAGGTGCCAACCTGAATTTATAGAGAGAGTTTCTTTTCCTGAGTTCCCTGTACCAATGAAATCACAGGTCTAGTCCCTAGCCTTATAGTCTTTAAAGGATGTGTTTAGTATTTCATTATTTTGTATTTATTTAAAATTTGTCTGTGCTCTAGTGCATGGTCTATTTTTGTAAAAGTGCCATGTGGAGCTGAGAAATATGTATATTTGCTAGGAATATATTCAAAAGATGTTATAAGTCTTTCAGTTCTAAATTCTACAACAGTTGAATTTGTATTTTCTCTTTTGTTTATCTTTCTGTTAGATTTGTCCAACACTGAATGAACATTAAAGTCTCCTACTATTATTATATTACTATCTATTATCTTTTTTCAGTTCAATTAATTTTTCCTTTATGAAGTTATGCCATTTGGGTGTAGAAGTTTAATTATGATATTGGTTTGTTGTCTGCTTTCTCTAAGTGTAATTTAATTTCTTTACCTTTATGTTGTGAATTTTTATTTTTGTTTTGTCTGATATCATGATGGTAGCTTCTGCTTTTTTGGATTCAGCTGATGCATTCATAGCCCATTTTCTTTCAGCCATTCATTTTAAGTCTGTATCTTTGCATTTTGAGATATGTTCTTATAAGCAATAGATTGTGGGATTTTGTTTTCTTATTCATTCTTATCTCTCAATTTATTAGATTATTGAATTTATTCACCTATGAAATCATGAGCATTAGGTTCGTGTTTTCCTCCATCTTCTATTTCATTAGTATTTTTTTAAGGCTTTTTTTGTTTGTGTGTTTGTTTCCTTGCCTCTTTTAAGTTAGTACTTTGTTCCTACTATTAGTTTTGTTTAAACTATGTTGCTTTAACTGTGTCCCACAGGCACTCTTTACCCCTTAACATCTCTCCATTTCTCTTTTTGTTCCACTTTTTCCTTAGTTTTGGGGTTTTACTTAAATTATTGATTTCTTTTTCTTTCTTTTAATTTGATTATCTAATTCTTCCCCCTTTCTTCTTCTTATTTTCCACTGCTCCATTAAGTGTGATTAATTCAAAATCCCTCCTCCTTTCCAATATCTTTTGTTTGTTAGATTTATTTTTCTTTTTCTATGTCTAAGAAGGATTTTTTTTTGCTTTGTTATCATTATTAATTTTTTTCCTTTCTTGGCTGTTCAGAGTTTTATTCTCCAATTTGTGGTCATTATAAGTTGGTGGCATAGCACTCAAGTCATAGTTTGTCAAACCTCCCTGCCCCAACTCTGTAATCATTAGTCCTTTTTTAATCTCTTTGTTTTTCATGGAGTTTAAGCTTCTGAAGTACTAAGTTTGGATTCCACCTTCCAACCAATTTCTATGTTATTGCCTTTGTAGATATTGCCCCATCATTTCTTTTTTCTGTTGTGCCTTAGTCTTTTAAAAATTTATTTTATTTTTAATTTATTTAATGAAATAAGCATTTCCATAACATAACACAATAAAAGATGATTGCATGTGAAACTGCAAATATATTATGTACAATTTACTATTCCTTTTAAATATATAATAAAGTT